ATTCGTTATCGAAAACGAGTAGTGTCTTGACGTGCCGGTTCAGCTGTCGAAGCTGCCGTGTCAAGACAAGCTTTATTCGTTAACGAAGCCGTTGTGTCTAGACTTACTCGCTTTCATTGATGAGCTTAATGCTTAACGTAGGTTTTGTTATGAAATGCCATGCTAGTATGCTATATGAAATGTTTGTCGAAAATCACTAAGTCCGGACAAGCCATTTTTCATTGATGAAAGATGTTGCATCCGGACATTTCGGTTACGTCAATGAAAACTGCCACTATCGTGGCATCGGCTTTTCGTTGATGAATATTATGTCCAGCCATACATAGTGACATATTAGTCGTTTTATTATAAAAATGACTTAAGGATACATTAATTAGGATTTGTGCTTGAATTAAGGGACTTGATAATATAAATTAAACAAATTAGTGGGACTTACCTATGCCTTGAATTAGTAGAATGTTAGGTGTCACCACCATGCCTTGCATAGGTGACTTAGCCAAGGAGGTGTCATCCTTTAGAATTTTTAAGCCATTTTCTATTACATGGTTGGCCTATATAAAGAGAGGGTGAGACTATGATTGATTTTTTTGGTCATTTGAATAATTTATAAGAGAAAATGGAGAATTACTTGAGTGGGAGCTCGTTGTAGCTTGCTAGATCGGCTTTAGTTGCCATTTTCTATCTCCTAATTCTAGATTAGGTAAATGTAATCCGTTCGACTACATTACAAGACCTCGAGTTTAGGCATTCTAGATATGTTGAGCTTGATTGTTGCTATGTTTGTTTGTTGAATGAAAAGAGGTTAAAACTTGATGCATATGGACTTAGGACTGACCACTAACCTTATAATTGCCATGTAAACCCTAGACAAATGTAGGCTGAATTTAGTGTCATGGCCAAATGGAATGCTTGAATTTGCTTGGTTTGTATTCTACCGAAAATGCTTAACTTGTGATTCTACCTAAAATGCATGGATTGTATTCTATCGAAAATGCTTAACTTATGATTATGTCGAAAATGCTTAGATTGTATTCTATCGAAAATGCTTAACTTGTGATTCTATCGAAAATGCCTAGTTTATGATTCTGTCGAAATTGCTTGGCTTGATGAGTTATAATATGTCTTGAATTAGCTTTAATGCGTAAAGGTTATTAACACAATTATGTTAGTTAAATGCATTGATGATATTTGGTTGCTCATGCATTGAAAATGTGTATTCACGACATGGTATAGCATAGCATTAGTTTTCACGACTCATGTTTTACACGAGAAAAGAAATCATGTGCATGAACATGAAAATGTCACCCTCCGGAATGATCCGGTGTATACTTAAGGGTTAAACATAGAGAGGCCACCATTGAGAATGATCCGGTGTATATTCGAGGGCTAGTCCTCGACTAAACATTATCTCGCTTTCATGATTTTTAAGGTTTTAAAAGAGGATCGGATCAGATATTCGACGGGGCATGTCCGAAAGACATAAAATTCTTATGGTGTAGGTGACCGCAACAATGCTTACGAGTAGGTTATCGCGAAGATGGTTTTGCTGAATGCTTTTGAAGTTTGTCAAAAAGTGTACTTTCGTCTAGGCATTTAAGTCGTAGGCTATGTCTAGTATGTTTACATATCATAGCATGAACTTTTTTGTAAATGTTGAATGTAAATAGCCTTGCGGCTAAGACAAGCATGTAAAAAGTTCTTTTGAATGAAATGAAGTATTTTGCCCAAAGCTTATGTTCCTTATGTTTATGTTGCCTTTGATGTTTTGGTATTCCTACGTAAACATAGCTAGACCCTTAGTTTTCGTTGTGAATTGACATGACGAGTAGGCTTTGATGAATTTCAACGGACTTAAGTCGTCATAAATGTAGGTTACTCGACGTATTTTTACGTCAACGAAATTTCGAGTCACGACGTAACTTTTACGTTGACGAAAAAGTGTTAGATACGAATTGAGTTTTTAAGTTAGCTCTCGAAGCCAAATGTTTTTCGTCGTGTATTGCATGTGTCATGCATGGTTTAATGTCATAGGGCATCGATGCGCTTTCGACGAACGTAAGATGTGGATGTATGTGCCGTAGTTGCGTCCGGTGCTTCACGAATGTTCGACACTTGTCATAGTGTTCCAGCCTCCCTTTCAAGGCTCGAGGCGCTACACTCAAAGTTACTATTCCTTTCATCATTCTTCTTGCTCGGTTGTTTCTTTATCGTCTATTTTTTTCTCATCTCTTCTCCACCATTAGATTCTCCCCGCTAAGTTTTTAATCTTATCCCATCAAAACCTAGAATTTTTTTCTCTTTGTCTAAAATTCTTATCACATTCTACTATTTCTATCTCCACCACCATAACATTTCCATCTTTAGAAAACCTTCACTCTCATTCCTCAACAAAACCCTATGTTTCACACATATCATTTTCACAGTCGCCCCTCCCTAATCGAAACTCGAACTTCATGAGAACCTTCAAAGTGATACTCGCTTCTCTCTATTGAAAAATGAAGACGAAGTTCATGGTAAAGAGAGGAGAGAAATGATGAGGAGATAGAGAGACAAGATGGATGGTTATGGTAGGTTAGGAGTAAGAAAACCGATCATTATCACTACTTGCTTTCTCTTCTTACCCTAATTCACCATCATACACCCATCGGATCGACACTCTCCTCTCGAATCACCAAGACTTTCTTCCTCATTTGCCTCTTTAACCACTCATTCTCTACTTATTCTCTCTCCTTCTTAAATCATGATCGCACATCATAAAATGTCTTCCACATTTCTAATGGTGGATCTCTCTCTAGCCCCATCGAGGTTACGACTCGTACCTCTCTCTCAAGATCTATGTCTACGAGGAAGACAAAATTGACATATTAAAAGAACTCTTATGAGGAAGAGAAGAAAAACCTTTTCCGATGATTGTGTTAAAGGCTAATGAAGAGTTCGAGTAATTTCAACCAAAATCCAAAGGCTTTCTATTATCCTTCATTTTGTTATATTTTTTTTGTTTTTTTCGACTCCTTACGAGTCAAGATACATAGGTTGCTATTAAAATCGAGTTTTAGGACTAAAGAGGAAGCTGATTTATTCTTATTCCTACCAATGTTAAATGTGTACGGATGATGGGTGGTTTGAGTGATAAAGAAATAAACAACACTTATGTTAAGGTAAAAATGTTTGTTTAAGATTGATTTTTCTCTTTTTTTAATTCAAATTGAAGCTTTAATTTTTATTATCGATGTCAATTTTTCAAGCATTGAGCTAATTACCGTATTTTAGATGATCGGGAGGTCGTGATCATATTTTTATCTTTCATAGGTATAATAATTCTCAATTTTCAACTTGAATTGCATGGATTCATTAGAATTCTTATCACATTATTCCTCTTCTATTTTTTTCGATGCTTGGTGCATATGTCTATGCTTTTGTGTGATTGTAGTGGTGTCGAAGCTCACTTATTTTGAACTTGGGCGACGTGCATTGATCATTTCATTATTCTTACTCCCGAGGTACTATTCGTACTTCTTGAACATACTATACTTACTTGCTTAAGTTGTTGTTGGTTTTATATCGATCCTAATTGTATGCGATTTTAAAGCTTATAGCTTAAAAAATATTGGGTTGTGTGTTAGTGTAAGGGATAGATGATAATAAAAAATATTGGGTTGTGTGTTAGTGTAAGGGATAGACGATAATAAAGAAACGAGTAAATGATATGTGAAACTTTCTTTTTGTACGAATACCAAACTCGTCACAACAATCAAGGATTATGAAACTTTCTTCACATTCTCTAATCTACTTCGGATCTTTAAGAATAAGGATGACCTAAATGATGATGTTGTAAGTTCTATATTGACATTTGTAAGGAAACTAATGTAAATGTTGATATGTTGGTCGATTTCTTATTTTCTTTTTGTATGAATGTATGATTTACTGTAGGTACCGAAGTTTCTTCTTTTGTGCTTAAAGAAAATCCTCAACTTTTCAAGGTTTTGTTCTCTCAATGGCTTTTGCTTTTTGACATCACCCGATTGGTCTTGTTACTTTTTCTTTTCTTTTCCTTTTATAATTACACATTGATGATGTCATAAATTGATGATGATATTGTAAGTTCTGCTTTTTCTTCTTTTTTTGAAGTCATGAATTGATGTTAATAGCATAGAGAAAGTGTGTATATAGTGTAAATTTGGTTTGAGATTAATTGATGATGAGGTCATGATTTATCTAGTTTGAGGGCTGGACTTTTTTCGGTGTTATTTCTGCTGTGATTTACTATTGTTATGGTTTTTCTTTTTTCTTTTTCTTTTGGTTTTATGATAACATGTACATGTTTTGTATAACCATAGGTAGAAAGAAGCAAACTCTATCTCTTTTTCTCTATCACCATGTCCTATTTCTATTAGAGATATCCAAGTTTGAAGCTAGGATACCTTTACGATAGATTTTGGTGGTTACCAATTTTTCTTTTTAAGTCACTGCATATGTATTATTATTGAATTTATTAGTGGAAGGCATAATATAATGTATCTTAACTATAAAGAACTATAAATTAGATCACTCGAAAAATATGAGTTATTCTATTGCTATTATAGGACTCGAACCATTATGATTCATATCTAGTCAATTGATTTTTTTTCTTATGTTGCTTTTTGGCAATGTATGGAATTTTTTTTATCTCATTATGGTCTAAATCTTTTAAAATGAGTGTAGGGAAGAACTTTAATATGATGTAAAAGCTGGCAATTTTATAAACATCCTTGGTACCTCTGTTAATGCGAGTGCTGATGGGTCAATTCATTGCCTTCCATGTTTCATATTGGTAGGGTCCCTTCGATCGCACTAAGAAATTTAGTTGCTTCTCCACATGTATAAGCAAAAAACTAGTCCCTCATCTCTAGGTTCTCTTTTAAAATTAGTTAGGGAACCAATATGGAAAGTCATACCTCAGGTCTCATTTACTTATGTCGGCTTTTTCTCGTAAGATACTATCGTGATTCAGTTCACTCGGTATGGGGAAAGAGGACGAGGAGTGGAGTCAAGTGAGCGTGGCATATGTGGTGAGAAATGAGATGGAGGATATGTGTGATGCTTCGGTAAATGGGAGTATTGGGTGGAGAGATCCGGGTTGGATCCTTTTTCATCTTCTTTTTTTATCTCTTTTTCTATTTAATGCATTTTTAGGATTTATGTTTTAAAATTTCATGTGAATAAAATTTAATTTTTGTTGATACACAAACTAAGTTGAAATATTTTTAAAATAAAATTTAATTAAAAAATTTTATTTTTGCTTTTAAGTTATTATTATAGTAATTTTTTATAGTGCAATTTGTTAAGGAACAAATCAAACAAGAAGATTAGACATAAAAACAATAAGCAATCATTTGATTCAAGATTTACGTGGTTCGATAAGTATGTGTGGTCCACGACCGTGCTAATTCTGCATAGCACATTAAATTATACGTGCTCCATAACTATGCTAATTATGCATGGTGCATTAAATTCAATTCATTGCCTTCCATGTTTCATATTCGGTAGCGTACCTCCGATCTCACTAAGAAGTTCAGTTGGTTCTCCATATGTCTAAGCAAAAAACTAATCCCTCATCTCTAAGTTCTCTTTTAAAATTAGTTAGGGAACCAATATGGAAAGTCATACCTTAGGTCTCGTTTACTTATGTCGACTTTTTCGTAAGATACTATGGTGATTTAGTTCACTGGGTGTGGGGAAAGAGGATAAGGAGTGGAGTCGAGTGAGTGTGGCATATGTGGTAAGAAATGAGAGGGAGGATATGTGTGATGCTTCGATAAATGGGAGTATTGGGTGGAGAGATCGAGGTTGGATCCTTTTTCGTCTTCTTTTTTTTTTTTAATCTCTTTTTCTATTAAATGCATTTTTAGGATTTATGTTTTAAAATTTCATGTGAAAAAATTTAATATTTGTTGATACACAAACTAAGTTGAAATATTTTTAAAATAAAATTTAATTACAAATTTTTATTTTTGCTTTCAAGTTATTATTATAGTAATTTTTTATAATGCAATTTGTTAAGGAACAAATCAAACAAGAAGATTAGACATAAAAACAATAAGCAATCATTTGATTCAAGATTTACGTGGTTCGATAAGTATGTGTGGTCCACGACCGTGCTAATTCCGCATAACACATTAAATTATACGTGCTCCACAATCGTGCTAATTCCGCATGGCGCATTAAATTCAATTCATTGCCTTCCATGTTTCATATTGGTAGCGTACCTCCGATCTCACTAAGAAGTTTAATCGGTTCTCCACGAGTCTAAGCAGAAAACCAATCCCTCATCTTTAGATTCTCTTTTAAAATTAGTTAGGGAACCAATATGGGAAGTCATACCTCGAGCCTCATTTACTTATGTCAGCTTTTTCTATAAGATACTACCGTGATTGAGTTCATTTAGGCGTGGAGAGAAAGGAAAAGGAGTTAAGTCATGTGAGTGTGGCATGTGTGGTGAGATATGAGAGGGAGGATATGTGTGATGCTTCATCAAATGGGAGTATTGGGTGGATAGATTCGGGTTGGATCATTTTTCTTTTTCTTTTTCTTTTTATCTCTTTTTCCATTAAATGCACTTTAAGGACTCGTGTTTTAAAATTTCATATGAATAAATTTTAATTTTTGTTGATACACAAACTAATTTGAAACTTTTTTAAAAAATTTTAATTAAAAATTTTTCTATTTGCTTTCAAATTATTATTATAGCAATTTTTTTATAGTGCAATTTGTTAGGAAACAAATCAAACAAGAAGATTAGGTAGAAAAATAATAAGCAATCATTTGATTCAAGATTTACGTGGTTCGGTAAGTATGTGTGCTCCACGACTGTGTTAATCCTACATAGCGCATTAAATCATGAAGTTTATCTACATTAGCATCTATAACTCAACAATGACTATTAATTTTCTTTAACTATGCATTTATTCAAACAAAACCAATCATTTGTTTTTTTAATATTCTAAAATATTTTTTTCAAATAAAATAATTGAAATAATGTTTTAGAAAAACCACCTAATAATTGAAATGCATGTTTTTACACCAATATTATTGATTATTTTCTAAATAAATAAATATAAATCAAATGCATATATATATTTTTTAAAAAGTTAACAAAAATTGTTAATTAAATTTTATAAATTTTTTTATATTGATTGTTTTTCTATTTCTTCAATGCAATCTTATGAAAAAAAATTAAGATGTTTTTTTTTAAATATTAAAATTTCTATTTACATTATCATAAGTTTTGATTTAAGAATGAATGAATAATGAAGAATGAATCGAGTTTTTATAACAATACAGTTTATGAAGAATATCAACAAGAATAAATAAAATACAAATTTTTTGAAAAGCGAGTATGAAATTAGATGATTTTTTTATATTTAATTTTATATATTTTAATTGACCGACTTCATGGTACAGCTTTATTAACCCGAAATAAATATTTTTAGCTTGGCACGTTGCATAAATGCGTTAAATGTTTTTCTTCCATAAGGTAATGAAGGTAAAAAATGACAAAAATAAACAGCAAAGAGAGAAAGGAATCTGCATTCTCTTTTTTTGTTTCATTTTGGTCACTCTAGTCCTTGCTTCTTCTTTTTTCCCTCTTTTTTTTTCGATTAAAAATTTTAAGACAAAAAAATATTTTAAAAAATAATTTACAAAATAAGTTTTTGGTTAAGAATCCATTAATTTTGACATTATTATAAATCTTTTAGCTAAGAATGTAGATTGCGATAAATAAATGATGATTTTTTAATCAAAAATTTATAAAAATATAAAAAATAATTGATTAAATGCAAAATTTTGGAAAAAAAATGAATTAATTTTTATTTAGATCTGAACTGTCATATTTTGACAAATACATAATATAAAATGAGACTTCAAACATAAAATAATTTTTTAAAAATAATTTTATATGTTTTATCATATGTGCAGTATAATACGAATAAAAAATAGAGTAATACTAATGATCAATCGTTGTTTTCGACATGTATAAAAGAATAAAAAAATATTTACGTACATGAACGACGAATTATTCTATTTGATAGTCGAACGAAATAAAAGAAAGCCATTTGATTGGATCACCAAAATTATCAAATCAGTGGACCATACCAATGAAAGGGTAACATTCCCAGAATGCTAGCATCAACCCGATCTCGATCCACACTTTTGGGAAAAAAGAAAAAAAAATCTCAAGTTTTTATTTTTGTTTTTTTATCAATGGTTTCTGCATGGTGCAGTAAATTATAAATTAGTATTTTTTTTCAAAAATAAATTAATTAATCCATTTCATTTGAAAAATTAATTATTTAATTATTTATATTTTAATTCCATCAATATTTTAGTCTTTTCATTAGTTATTTATTCAACTAGTGGTGAAATATCCTACTGCATAATTTTTTATTTTCAAAATTGTTCTCTTGATGCTCTATTTTTCCCTTTCATCCATTTTCATTCTCTCTTCTAGACCATCATGATGACTTATTTTTAAATTTCTTCGATCATTTGATAGTTAAAGAAAAAAAAGTCACCGTAATATGAAGGAAAAAGAAATTAATTGAAGAATTTGAAAGAGAAATCACTGTAATAATAGTTAAGGAGAAATAAAAAAAGGTGCATAAATGAAATAAATAAAAAACTAACAATATTATGAATCATGAATATTACAATAAGATATCTCATCATTAATCTAACAAAAAACTAATGAAATAACTAAAATATTAATAGAATTAAATTTTTAAAAAATTAAATTATAAAAAAATAAACAATTAGTTTTTAAAAGAAAAGAATCTATTTTATAATTTACACCCATATGTTAACGTAGTTCAAATCCAAAAAGTTAATATTTGAAAGCTATTTTATAATAAATTTAAATAAAAGTTTATAAATTTAAACTATTCCATGTGAATTAACTAAAGTATTAATGATATGAAAACATAAAAAAATAATTTTTAAAATAAAAGAGTTTATTTTATAATTTATCGTATCGTACTTCAAATTCAAAAGGTTAACATTTGTAAGCTATTCTAAAATAAATTTAAATAAAATTTGGTAAATTCAAACTGTTCTAAATGAATCTGAAAAGATGGTAACACGTGGACAGCTTCGAAGGGTGCGTGCTAAACAGCGGGTGGGGCGGCACCTGTCTTATGTGGACATGTATGCGTCCATTTTCGAGGGGCCACGTGTGTGTTTTACAAGTACCCACCTAGACAAAAGTGGGGGACGGCGATGTCCCCGCTGAAATGTCGAGGTGGCAGACAGCGTCGCACGTCTGACTCTTCGAAAGCGACTTCTGGAAAAGGTCCCACACAAGGAGATACAGCCTAAAAACCCAGGGCTCTTTGTGAGCCCCGTCGACTTGCCAGCTCAGACCGCCCCGGTTCAACTGGGAAAGCGACTGTTTGGCTTGAGCGACCCATATATTTTCATCACATACAAAATTTAAAACACTACTTAATCATAACAGAGCAAACCTAATCAGCCAAAACTCGAATGCCGTTGTACATGAAAGGATAAATTATTTAATAGATACGTACCAAAAAAATATTTTTTTATAGGAATTTTATCGTCAAAAGAAAATAAAATTAAAAATACATGACGGTTATGTGTTGATGTTGATAATAAAGATGTGTATGTATATATATAAAATTTTGTTGATAAGATGGGTGGCGAAATGTGATTAGTTCATTAATATAAGAGGCTCTTAAAAATGAATTGTTAATGAATCAATCAATGATGAAAGAAAATATATCAATTGATTTGAGGATATGATTTTCAAATTAGCATTTCAACGCCTAATCAAATGAACCCAATGTCCGCAGCAACTCATTTTTTTTAAATATAGTTTGAACTTCTAACAGGAAGATTATATCAATGAATCAATTGTTTTGGTTTTATTAGTTAATGAAAGTTGTCAATAGCTTAGATAATTGGCTGAGGCGTCGTGACATTGGGCAAGATTGGTTCAAAATGTCATTCTCATGTTTTGTTTTTAAAACAGATTCTGAAGGCCAAAAAATCCAGCGACTATCGTCTTTCACGTGGCTTTTGTTGCATCACGGTTAGCCGTTCTCCTCCAAAAAGTAATGTGCACGACAAGGCCACAGAAATTGGTTTGGTCGAGTTCTTCCAAGGAAATAAAAGATTATGTTGCTCTTGTTTTCTTTTCTTTGGCCAAATTTTAATCTTTTCAAGTCTTGGAGTTATTGAGTTTCTAGATGCTTAGCTTATCCCGCTGAAAATCAGTAAGTTAAATAAAATCCAGAAATGTGTTTAGTAAATTCGATAAAACTGTGCAATCAAAAAAGAAAACTATAGACTTAACTAGTGACCCACGAAAATGGAGAATAGTATTTTTTGCACGCCGTGAGAAGAGATTTGAAACATATATCATATAACATATGATCTCACAAATTCTTATCTCATCTTTTAACTAACAAAACACCCTCATGATCGTTATCCATAATTAGTTTATATGATTGAATTGTGATGAAAAAGCTAAGCAAAAGCATAGAAGGATAATAATCAATTCGATCATGTTTCCTGACCAATGAAATTGTTCTTATGACGTGAATGCTGTAATCATCTTCTTTTGATATTGGAACCTAGTACCGCTTTTCTTTTCTTTTTTTGCTACTGGCTTTTGATCGAACTTCAAACTCTTTTTTTTCCCCTCTCGAGGACAAGTTCATTAAGCCATGATCATGTTGACAGAAACGTTGAGCTGGTGTAAATTGACCGATGGGTAGTTGAAATTATACGTCGGAATTCATTCTTTGCCCCAAGGTCATCAAGAGGACCTTATTAATAAGAGGGGTCATGCGCGAAGGATGAATTTATTTAGAATTTATGATCACACATGCATCGGGATCAGACCAGTAGCGGTTGCTGAAGAAATGGTCTATGCGCTGTTGCCAAAGAAAGGAAGAAAAATAAAAAATTCAGGAGGGAGCGGGGTTGAATGGAAAAATAAAGAAGGATCACCGCACCATTTATTTTATTTTATATCTGTATTAGTAATTATTAGGCGTTTAAATGTTAAATATAGTTGTTCTAGGGTTCCAGCAATGGCAAATGAAAAATGCCGGATTTATTTTTGATGACGTGCATGCATGAACTTAGAATGTTTTGTTAGGTTTCATATATATATATATATATATATATATATATAGAAAAGTATTTAGGATATGGTGGATTAATTGTCCGAATAAAAAAAGAGATTGCATTGTAACTTCTTCTTTTTTTTTTTTTATCGAGTGAGGGTAGATTATTAAAATTTTATATAAATATTTTATTATTAAATGACGTGCCATTTATGATAGGAAAAACTATTTTTAAATTACGAAATATGAACCTTCAATGATATAATTGCAGTGATAAAAGAACCAATAATAAATAAATAAAAACAATCATAAGCTATCACATTATTTAATACGTAAAAGTTTAACTAAACTCTAGCACTACTTTTTTATTTTTTATAACCATTTTTATGTTATGTTTAAAGCATTAATTTGCTTTGTTGGATATTACGATCCAGCAGCAATATTACTAAGCTGTAAAGTTAGAAACTTAGAATAAGTGTAAAATCTTTTTTATTTATAAAAAGATTGACATCATACAATCATCCATTTTGTATGTCCAAAAGGAAGATATCATTTTTATTTTCTTATTTTTTCCGTAAGACGTAGCGTCAAATGCAATATTGTTAGGGTTAAGGGACTCTCAAAATATTTATTTGACCTGTTTGCCTTTTTTTTTTTTTATAATTTAATTTACAGTGTTTTGTCACACATAAGTCACGACTAATGTCTTTGATGCAGTGACAAAAACAAAAATCGTATTGCTGATTTTGCGCAGTGGTTTTAATCCACCACGTGAGACCGATTATGCCTTGCTACTGTACCTATATAATTTTTTGCTGAGCTTTGGAATAATAAGCTGGGAGACCTCATGGTACACGGTTTGGCGTAAGTAGCCGATACTCCAGCGAAGGAAACTAAAAAAGGAATCGTGACTAGCACTATCAAAGCCCTTATTGTGGCTTTAGTTCATAATTTTCACCGTTATAATCAGTCTGGTGAATAGAAAGAAATTTGAGCATTCGAGCGTAAACAAAAGAGAATAATACGCAAGACGTGGTTCCCAATTTGGTGCGTGGCTTCAAACCAATACTCCCACCTCCCAAAAACATGTTGGGGATGAAAATTATGCTTTCTCTTTTTCTCAGCCCCTCGCATTGATTCTTCCAAATATGGCCAATGATATTTACATGACTAGTTGGACAACCCACTAAATTGAATGGGCCTCATGGTGGGCCATAGAAAGGTAATTCAGGTCGCTTCCTTTATGATTTATGATCTATGGATCATACCATCACCATTACCAAAGCTATAGATAAAGAAAATGAAAGTTGTGGTTGCACTGGGTTGTTGATCAAGCCTCAAAGAGTAAAACTACGCTGACTTATCTGTAATTTCTCGCTAATCTATATTCGAACAACCGAGACAATCTTCTCCATTTGACGCGGACTGCAAAGGGCAATATTTCTAGTTTTGGATTATTTATCCCATAGTCCAAGATCAGATTCGGCTCCAATTATTTTATAAGCACCGAAACTCCGTTTATACAATATTAATATCCACCAAACAAAAATACCTTTTTTTTATATCATCCTAACAAAAATAATTTTGGGATTACAGCCTATACAGAATCTTGTAATCCTTCAAAGTGCTGTTACCAACTTAACCTGTAAATTATACATATGTGTGTTTATATAACCAAAACCGGGAGAATCGTCAAAGCTTTAGAACTGGACCAGTGGACCACGAGCAAGAATCCCAATAAGAAATGCCACTTACGTAATAAAAACAAAACAACAAGGTCAAACAAAGGTATAAAGAAAATTACGTGTTGATACCCTTGTATATAGTTCTTAGGCTATTCCGTCACGTCACGATGAAACCAGAGAGGAAGAGAAGGAAAAACACCGTGTAGTTTCCCTTTCTCTGTTGCAACTAGACAAACAGGAGGGCATATTTGTCCTGAAAATTAGAAACTCTCAAGAAAACTTGAAAGAAAATAGTAAAGAAAAGCTGACCTTGTTTTGAGTATATCTTCCATAGTACGTACTACCATCAACGTTCCCAAGGCAAAAGCCGGCTCATTGCTCACCTTCTCTCTCTATCTCTCTCGCTGTCTTTCTTTTTTTCATTTTTTTACTACGCTTTAATTTTTTTTAACTTTTACTCTCTTTCTCTCTCTTCTTTACTACAGTGTTGTTGTATGGCTTGCGTTTGTAAAGATTCGTCCATATTTTCCCCTCAAACACAAAGAGTTAAAGAGAGAGAAAGTTATTAAGCAAACCAAAAGAAATTTCTAGAGAGAGAAATTATCATTAAAACTACGGTAACTCTCCTCAAAACCTCCGGGAAATGCCCTTCTCTCCGGCGTTTCACCAAACAACATCAACTACCCAAAAAATGCTGCCATAATAGCATTAAGAGAAATTTGAAAGCAGGAGAGAAATTGGTGGAGAGAAGAGCGTGAGCGTGCGGGGGTTTTCTTTATGTGAGCTACAAAATGCGTGAAGGACTTCTCGTTGATGAGGTAACCGACGTCGTTTCAACCACAAAGAAGAAGAAATCAGGAGAGCAAGACAATAATAATAATAATAATAAGCAGCTAGATAAGGTTATACTGTTAGTGGCAGACAAAGATATCACAAAACAAGCAGCTATTCCACCACAACCCATTGTTGTTAGCCGCGCTCGATCCCAATCCGCCACCCGCCGTGTCACTCCCGCCACCACCTCCGTCGCCACCGCCAGCAGCTCGTCTGACACCACTGTAGAAAAGCATCTCCCAAACGGGGATCTCTACATCGGCTCATTCTCGGGTCACGCGCCACACGGATCCGGAAAATACCTCTGGACCGACGGGTGCATGTACGAAGGCGAGTGGCGTCGTGGTAAAGCATCTGGAAAAGGGAAATTCTCTTGGCCTTCGGGAGCTACTTTTGAAGGGGAATTTAAGTCGGGTCGGATGGATGGATTCGGTACTTTTACTGGATCCGACGGGGACACTTACCGTGGGTCGTGGAGCTCCGATCGAAAACATGGTCATGGGCAAAAAAGGTACGCGAATGGAGATTTCTATGAAGGGACATGGAAGAAGAATTTACAAGACGGGCAAGGGAGGTATGTGTGGAAAAATGGGAATGAGTATGTTGGTGAGTGGAAAAATGGCGTTATTTCAGGGAAAGGGGTTTTGATTTGGGCTAATGGGAATAGATATGATGGGCAATGGGAGAATGGAGTGGCGAAAGGTGATGGGGTTTTTACATGGCCAGATGGGAGTTGTTATATTGGGAGTTGGAATAATAATAAGGATTTAAAAGGACAGCAATTGAATGGCACATTTTATCCTGGGAATGGGAAGGAATGTTGTTTAAAAGGGAGTGAGAGCGATTTGGTTTTGACCACTACAGCGACGAGGAAGAGGTCGTCAGTTGATGGAGGGAGAGGGAGTGGGCTGAATTTTCCTAGGATTTGTATTTGGGAAAGTGATGGGGATGCTGGGGATATTACTTGTGATATTATTGATAATGTGGAAGCAGAGAAGATTTATCGAGATGGGTTAGGGTTGGATCGAGATGGGATTAGGCAGTTTAGAAGAGGGCCGTGTTGTTTTACTGGTGGAGAGGTCAAGAAACCCGGGCTGACTATCTCGAAAGGGCATAAGAATTATGATTTGATGCTTAATTTGCAATTGGGTATTAGGTAAGATTTTTTTATTATTATTAATCTTGTTTTATTGTATGGAAGGGATTTTGTGGGATTTTTTCTTTGTGCTTGATTGTTTTTGTATTGTGTGTGTTTGCGAATTGAGTTGGGGGTTTTGATTCTGCAATGGATGGTGTTTAATTTAGGTATTCTGTTGGGAAGCATGCCCAGATTTTGAGGGACTTGAAGCCTAGTGATTTTGATCCAAAGGAGAAGTTCTGGACGAGGTTTCCACCTGAAGGATCAAAAATTACACCTCCACATCAGTCTTTTGATTTTCGATGGAAGGATTACTGTCCTGTGGTGTTTAGGTATTCCATTTTCTACTTTAAAATTGCCTCATAATATGAATTTTATTTCTAGATATATTTGGAACTTTTAAGGTTCATGTATACTCTCTCTATTGTGTCTCCTTCCCACCTTGATAAGACATCCCATGCTCATAAATTTGAGCCTAGTACAATTTGTTGTGTATGTTCTTCCTGACTCGCTAGCATTGATTAAGTGCTTGATTGCTGTACTTTTGTTTTATTTCTTCTTTATGCTATGGTGGTGACATTTTTTTTTTCTGGGTATGTCAGACATTTGAGAGAGCTTTTTCAAGTAGATCCTGCTGATTACATGCTAGCTATTTGCGGCAATGATGCCCTTAGAGAGCTTTCTTCTCCAGGGAAGAGTGGAAGCTTCTTTTACCTTACTCAGGATGACAGGTTTATGATAAAAACAGTGAAGAAATCAGAAGTCAAGGTTAGTTGCTTGCCTCATTGACTTTTGTTTTGTTTAATTTGAAGTTTGTATGGCACTAAACTGTTTCAAAGGTGCATAAATCGCAATTGGTCAATAGCTCATGTCTTTATTTCACCTTTCTTAATTATACGAGACTAAAAGTTGGGGCAGTTATATTGGTTTTAAAGTTTGCTTATCCATGTTCAGGTGCTTATTAGGATGCTTCCCAGTTATTACCAACATGTTTGTCGGTATGAAAATTCGCTGGTGACAAAGTTCTTTGGTGTGCATTGTGTTAAACCAATTGGCGGACAGAAGGTAAGTTAATGAGAAATATCCTGTTTCAAATTTTTGCTCGTTAATGGAGTTTTTTTCCCATGTCTGATCATATGTTTATTTGGAAACCAGACCCGTTTCATTGTGATGGGCAATCTGTTCTGTTCAGAGTATAGAATACATCGTAGATTTGACCTGAAAGGATCCTCCCATGGCCGCACAACAGATATGCCCGAGGGTGAGATTGATGAAACCACAACTCTTAAGGACCTTGATCTCAATTTTGTTTTTCGTCTACAGCGAAATTGGTTCCAGGAGCTTATCAAGTAAGTTTCAGAAATATGCTATATATTTTCTTTTAGACATTTGTTTCCCCTGGATTTCCAGTTGGTTTATGTTGCATGGCTCATAACCTGCTGCCTGATGATGACCAGGCAAATTGATCGTGATTGTGAATTTTTGGAAGCTGCAAAAATTATGGATTATAGTCTCTTGGTTGGTCTACACTTCCGTGATGACCATAATTATGACAAAATGGGATTGTCACCATTTCTTTTGCGCTCTGGTAAGCAAGCTTAGTTTCATTGTAAAAGGATTGCAGTCTTTATATCTCTAAAGTTGTTCTTTCTTCAATAAAATATTGTGATAAAGAACGTGCTTTATGCAGGAAAAAAGGATTCCTATCAGAATGAAAAATTCATGCGTGGTTGTCGCTTTCTTGCAGCGGAGCTACAAGACATGGATCGGATTTTATCTGGCAGGTATATTTCTTGCCTTTTTATATTCCTTGTTTCACTTCATTTCCTGCTCTTGGTATGCGATTGAGTACATAAAAGTGAATTAAAAATGGTTTTTGTGCAATCAGCTGCTGACTTTGCAATATATATATATATATATATATATATTGCCAGAGCATTTGGTTGATTATTGATTTTGGCATTGAAGATAGCCAGTAATTTCTGGTATTGAAATTGGCCATTGTCAATTGAATAATTGAAAGTCACTTCTGTTGTATGGGCTGATATTGTGTTTGGGGGGTGTTCAGTAGACAACAGTTGTTTGTGGGGGGCACATACATGATGGTGTTTCTCTGATTTACAAGATAAGAGTGACGGTTTCATTGAATGGCGTTGCTGAATTAGACAAGTTCTTTATCTTGAAATAATGAAGTCTTTGTGCTTTAACACTGAAAATGGAGCAAACCATTGGTGTTAGATACTAGCCATTTAAATTTGGAGTATAAATGTTGTTTCTATAATAAAATATTGGCAAGTTCTGATTTACGAATATTTATTTGCTTAATTTTTTCTTTTTTATTTCTTTATGATGAAAAGATTTTAATTTTTACGTGCGATCATATACTGAATTGTGAATAATGTGTTGAAATTCTAATGTGCCATCTCAGGAAACCTCTAATAAGATTGGGAGCGAACATGCCAGCAAGAGCAGAGCGGATGGCGCGAAGGAGTGATTTTGATCAGTACACCCCTGGTGGATTTAGCTATTTGACCCCTTCTCGAAGTGGTGAAATCTACGAAGTAGTCCTTTATTTTGGAATTATTGACATTTTACAAGACTATGATATTAGCAAGAAGTTGGAGCATGCCTACAAATCTTTACAAGCCGACCCCACCTCAATTTCAGCAGTAGATCCAAAACTCTACTCAAAGAGGTTCCGGGATTTCATTGGGAGAATATTTATAGAAGAAAGGTAACAGCGCCAGATAAAGTTGCAAGTAAAAAGTGTTAGTTGAATTTGAAGGGGCACCTAGGGAATTATGCTGATCCGGGCAGCATTGAATCGAGCAAATAACCTGCATATTCCAGAGACGAAGCCACTGTAGATGTGGTGAGAGAGCTCGGAAGCTGTTTCTGAGGTGGTGCTTATGGCTGAATTTTGAAGATCAGCCAGAGTTGAAGGGGCAAAGCTTATGTACATTCAAGGGGGAGGAGGGAAAGTGTGGTTTCCTTATTTTTAAAAAATTATTTTTGGAAATTTTGGTGGCGACCAAGGGGAATTGTGAATTGTCACAGGGTTGAAAGATAGGTATATAGGGAACAGGGAAATGTTTTTTCCCACAGAGAGAAGATTCAAAACGGGAGGGGAATTGGAATAAGAAAGTGTACAGCTTACAGAAAAGATGAATAGTTTATGGAATTTCACGGATAATTTTTTGAGGTATATATATTTAAAAAATTGTTTTGAATCACCTCCCCATTAAAAGGGGTCCCGTTCTCTCTCTCTCTCTCTCTCAACATATCTGGCCCTTTGACTGTTGTATATAAATGGGCACTCTCTGTTGTATGGAAATGGGGTCATTGCTTTGCTTTTTGCAGTGAAAGGGAGGCATTGGGCAGGAGGGTTAAGACGTGAAAAGGAGAGAAAGCGCAAGAAAGATGCGCTGTTGTTTCTCGTTCTTGCTTACTTTGTTCACCATTTCCCTCCTTTCACTGTTTCGTCATTTTATATTCACTCGGAAAGACATTGAAATTTAAAAAAAAAAAAAAAAAAAGTCACCACTGCTACTTTTGAAGAATAAATGAATATGATGAAGTAATTAACAAACACATACTTCTGTACACGAAGACCATTGAACTGAACTTAGATCCCCATATCTTTTTTAACGAAGTTTGGAGAATCTTTCTCCCGTTGTTACTGTTATTCCTGGAAAATTGGGAGGGTAATTTAGTCACTTGAAATTGGATGAAATCGGGGGGGTCATGTGGACGGGAAGATGTCAAAGGCTGTAGCAGAGAGAGAGAGAGTCCAGCCTATCTCTGGGGTCCAACCCTCCCCTTACAGTAGCTCCTTTTGACCTTATGATTCTCTTTTCTTGGGACCTTCTGGTATCTGATTGCTCAGACACTAAAGCACGGGTCTGTGTCGCTGTGATTTCTAGGGCCAATGCCTTGGATCTCTTGCTGATAAGTACCGTTAAGTTCATCATAATATTTGTAGTATTTTCCAACTGATTTATAACCGCTTGATTTCTAGAGATAGTCAATTCTTTAAATTTTTTTTCCATCTTATTAAATTTTTTATTACACTTGATAGTGAGAGTTCTTAAACATTTATTCTACAGGAAAAAAAAATCCTAAATATCCACAATATAGTGATGCTATTGAGAAAAAAATAATTAGAAAAAAACTTAAAAGAATATATCCACAATTTGGTTAACTTTCCTGAAAAAAAAAAAAAAGGGTGGAAAATACGAGTTTAAATCTATATATTCTATCATTTTTTTTTAAAAAAAGTCAGATTAAGCTTATGAACTAATAGAATGGTGGAAATTTAATCCAATCCTATTTGTTTCACATTCATTTTTTTTCTTTTTATCTTTAATATGGAGGTTTTTTTGTTTTTTTGGTTTACAGTTCTACAATATGTAGTTCATTTAGACTTCCCTATATATGATGTAAAAAATGTAATGTTCTTACCTTATTAGTTTTTTGGATTTATCAGATGGAAAAGTAGGTAGACTCTCAGCAACTTATTGATATTAAATTTGTTGAATTCAAGGATCTATATGCTAGAATTTGAAACACACAATCAGTGAATATTAGTAAATAATAAAATGCATAAATTACGGAGTTATGATAGAAACAAATTTGATCTTCACAAAAATACGATGTCAAGAAGCAAATTTGATCTTCAAAAAACGCAAATAAGAAAACAGAGTTAATTTAGAGGTCTAGCTTTCCTCTTACTCACCAGAAACTTAAGCGTAATCTTCAATGGAACAGCTATCACCTATAAATATGTATTTATAGAATGCAATAGGTCCAGACTTTAATAATAAAATAGCACTTATGAATCCTTTCATTAACAATTCTAAATAACTGACTCTACGTTAATATATAAAAAATCACACTTGTTTAATTAATTGAGACAAACTATAGTTTATAAATCTAATGGATCTCAATTCAACCACGTGTCATACCAGTTATTATCTTTGAAATATATATTTTATTTCTTTGTTTAACAAAACATAAAATTCACGATCAACATTAGCTCATGTTTAAATATGAAAAACTAACACTCTCGATATCTTTTTTAAAAAAAAAAAGATATCGAGAGTGTTAGTTTTTCATATTTAAAAAAAAAATATTCAATTTGTAAATTGATTTTTGGGTTGAGATAATTTAAATAGACAAACATATATAGTTTAGAGAATCAATATCTCAATTCAGGATTTGATCTATTTGTACTATTAATATTGAACTCGTAACAATTATTATATAATGTATCCACGTAAAATCATATATGATTACGAATTAATAATTTGACCACGTGAATCTTATCATATGACAATATAGCGTAGAAAGTTAGTGCAATGATCCAAAAATAAGTATAGAATGCTAATTCTAGATTAATCCTCCGGTCCTAATAGTCCATATGTAACTTCTTAAAGGAAGCTCACTTCTATTTTTTTATTTTTTTTTACAAGGATGCATACTTGTTTTAAAAGTTCATATTTAATATACACAAGATGAATTAGTTTTTATTAAATTTAGATTGGAACTGTTATCCTCCTTTGTTTAGGACTTGGGTTTTTCTAGTGGGATTAAGCTAAATTTTTTATAGTCCAAACTAAACAAGTTTTCTTTAGGCTAGGCTGAATTTTTAGAGCATTATTTAAGACATCTTATGCCTTGTAAAGATACATTTTTTATTGAGTAATAAAGTTATCTGAGAAGCTTTTCTCAAATTATTTTACGTATTTTTGTGCTTTTGCTTAAATTATTTGTACGTTGTCGTTATGCTTGTTTAGAATTCTGTATTTTGCTATTCTTTGAAATTGATCACTCAAAGTGATACTTTTTATGAACAAGTTTCGAACTATTCAAATTAAGGATTGAAATTTTTGTTCATCAATTTTAAGGTGGAAGATTTTGCTAGTCTTGCATTAGAGTTAGTTGAATCTATTCAATACGACTGGTGTCAAGAATTCTTAATGCTCTTGGAGAAATGAATAACAATAATATTATCATAAAAAATCCTAATGGACTTTGAGAGGAATCAACGACCTTAAGTTTAGAAACAAAATCCCTAGCCACTTGACATATGTGCCCTGTTTTATAACAAGATTCTATCTCACGTTGCATAGTAGAAAATGCAAAAAGTGATTTGCTTAGAATTTTTTCATATAATAGCATCTCCGACCCATGTAAAAATATATCAAGTTCTTAATTTACCATCATCCGAACAATCAATTAAATCTGTATAAGTACAATTACTAATTTCTAAATCATTCATTTGTTTATAGATCTCTAATTATATATGAACATAACATAATCTGTTAAGCATTTTATCAATATATTATGTCTTTTACATTTACACTTATCTAGAAAATCCACACTACATTATCTTTTCCGATTTTCTGCCTTGATTACTAATTAATAAGGCCATTAGCCAGATGATTTGAGAGGAAATTCATTTACGTGCAGATGCTGAAATAAAAATTCTTCATCGCTACAACAAAATTACCATAATTTTCTTGGCTTGCTATTCTTCTTCGCTTTGGATGATTTTCAAAATCATCACTTAGAAAAATTTTACGGTTCCTCGAATGTAAATCAATTTTTATTTTTTCCACTTAACTCGTCAGAATAAATACATAATGATTACTCTAATGACTCTTTCGTTTTCTCATCAAAATTTGGCCAGCAAGCAAACAGCGAAAGATAGAACAAATGAATGATAGTTGCAGAATTCTCGAAACTGACTTTAAAATAGAGTTAAACAGTAGATAATACAACGCAAATGGGATGCAGGCCATAATGCTCATTACCTCAAAAGCTTAAATATTAAGCCTATTTACTGAAAAGAGGGTACGAACGGATCTTTAATTTGATACGGATCTAAGTAAAATCTCTCGCCTGTTTTTATGGGCTTATGTTGGGACCGATGCAGGTGCATATGGTGGAAAGAATTTAATAAAACGGTACTCCTCTAGCCCCTGTCTCGTTAATTCAGACACGGTCGCCGTCTGTGGCAGGCATGGATTAGTTGTCACGTGCTAGTCTTCAAGTTTTTTTTCACTACGTTATTGTTTATCCAGATTTTTACGCTCACCTACTGCCTACTGGGCCAGTTGTATCGTGTATGTCCATGCTATGATATTTAGGTTGGGTCTGGTACGGCAAATATTACTGTTGAGACGAGATAGAGAAGATAAAATAATATAAGACAAGATATTAGAGACCAGATTGATTTATATTTGGTTTGATAGACAAAGATATAAACTGTTGTTGAGATATATGTTTCACGATTGAAGATGAGACAAAAGAAAATATAGAAAATATACTTTGCCTTCATATATTTTTGTTGTGCTTTTTGTGCATGGTACGTGGTTTAATTATTATTTAATTATATTTTTTATACTTTTAAATTCTCATATTTCTTTCCCTCAGTAAAAAAAATTTATAACTTTAAATAAAATAAATATACATTCATTCATATATTATCTTATTTTTATTTAAAATTTAAAAAATATGGTGATAAGATATTTTATTCTTTTTTCACTATATTATGTATATTTTATATTTTAATGAATAATTTTTTATTTACAAAATCATAATAATTTAATGGATAAATGTATTATTTGTTTTTATATAATATTCAAAACCTCTCATATGTTTTTGGATTCTTAATTACATCACAAATGTTCAATATGTCTTTTCGATAGATTTTTCAAACATAATAATTCTTTTTTTACTAAAATGCTCGACTGAAATGCAATATATATATATATATATAATAAAATAGAATACATAGGTCATGTGATTTTAAGTATTTTTATCTTTCATAGTTCTTTTTTTTTTAGTGAAAAGCATTTCGGTCAAAATTATTTTATATGATCGAAAAATTTGATCGGAAGAACATAATAAATATTTCAGAAAATTTCAAAGATAAAAGAGATGTAATAAAGACTTTGGCATTATATAAATACAAATAAATATAGTTATCTTAATTTAATAAATAAAAAATTACATATAACTTTTATGCACGCAAAAGAGCTAGGCAGGAGATACAAAGTCTATTGAATATTTTATTGTATGTATCAAAATATATAAATTCAGAAGGAAAAAAGGCATATATATATATATAAGAAAAAAGAAAAAAAAAAAAAAAAAAAGAAAACAATCTGCCCTGGAGTTGAGCCTAGCCTCGCCTGGGCTGTACTCCAAGCCAGCTAATTAACAGACGCAAATGACCTGTCATCCTCGTCCAACATCATCTTCAATTTTGGTTAGCTTGTTTCTGACGAAGCCCGGCAGAGATTAAAATTTCTCATTTTTTTCTATTTAAAAACACTTTTAAATGCTATTACAAATTTAACATCAAAAATTATTTTTAAACAACAAATCAGCATAAATATAGATGTGAAAGTTTTTAGATCTAAAAATTCAAATTCATATATTTTTCAATTCTGATGACAAAATTTTGGTGTCTATAAATTTACGACCATGAGTTTTTGTTTAATTGCGGTATTGGCCGGCAAAAATGAGCATATTACATTGCCTCAAAATTTCTCTCTCTCTTTTTTCTCTTTTCTTTCTCTCTCTCTCTTTTCTTATTTTTGTATTTTTGCTTTTATATTTTTGACTTTTTTTGTTCAGACAAATTCCATAATCCATCCAGAATCAATGACCAAAATTGGTAAGTATAGAATATGACTTGGAATTTTGAAAATTTTGCAAGCGTAGATTGGAAATGTAATTTCGTAATTTTTTCGTCTCCGTCCCTTATGTCCTCTCTCAATGTATATATATTGCTCATTTATGTGTCTGAGATAAAGGACAAAAATGATTTTTTCTCCGTTTTCACGAACTAAACATTATGTTATTTTTCATCTCATGCCTATCCCTTCCATTCTTTATGCCATTTCAAGCCCAACTTTGGCAAGAGAAGGTCTCCAAATCTAATTTTACAACGATCTCGATTGGATCGGATCACTTGTGTAATTCATATGATTTGGTTGGTATTGGTTAATGATTATCAAGCAAGTATGTTTGATTAGCTGGAAATTGGAATGTCTTGGTCGTATATTACAATGTATTTTATGAAAGATTTCTTCTTATCAAAATCGTTTATTTACGTGGAATATGCATTGGAAATTCCCAATTGAAAAAAAAATGAAAATCATTTATTATCAATGTAAAGAAAATTGAACAAGTTGTCAAAAGCTTAGGATAACATGATAAAAGTGAGAAATTTTATAATATTAAAAAAATAACCATTATACATATATACTAATTACTTTATGATTCTATTTTCAAGAAGAAAGATAAACATAAAAAAAAAGATATTACATCCAATTAAAAATGATAAAAAATATTCATCTAAATTTATTTTTTTTTCCTATTTTTTTCTTTGTTTTTATGTCTGCCTATGAAATAACTTCCATCAATTATTTCATAACTAATATAAAATTTTTAGTCAAGGGCCATCCATCCCTTTCTTTTAAACTGGTCCATCAATCTTCGTGCATGCATGCTATGATTATAACATGAGATGTTTGAAATAACAGCATCCGATTGGAATGAGTCGGTTGAATGAGTTGGTTGCATTAATTAGATAGCCAAATAAATGATAGAGTTGTATAAATTATTCTCTGTTTGCTAGCGAACTTTTCAACCTTTGGTTTTTGTCGTGACTCATCTGATTGATCAGAAATAGAAATGCTTCCTTTTCTTTTTGGTAAAAAAAAAAAAACCAAAACTATGATTGATTAAAAAAACTTGGTTTGAGGTAGATATCCACATCTTTCTAATTTAACGATTGTAGTGTTGATCTAAAATCGATATGTTCTTACTTTGATCATTGGTAATTTAAATCTCAAACTAGACTATGAAAGTTTAGTTTAGTATGCGAAAAGGCAGATATAAGATACCTCCATAATTTTAAACAGCATGGAGGAAGAAGAAGAAGAAAATCACGTTTTGTCTTCCGTTTTTTGAACAAGATGTGTGGAAAAGTTACCCCAATATATTCTAGGTTTGCGTAAGGACATACGTAAGACGGTGAGAGTCCAATCAGTTAGACCGAGCATGTTCTCGTTAATTTACTATGTTTCTTAATCAAAGCGTGACCAACGGATCTAATCTATCTTACCTGACTTATACGGCAGCTAAATATTCTTCATAGCCCTCTTTGCAATTAAGAAAAAGTGCCAATAGCTAGCTGCCTAAATATGAAAATAACTCGAGACTCATTGTGCTACCTCAGAACGCAGCAAGAGTTCATAAACATTTGTCTGTTTCTGCCGTTGTCACTGAAACTAGACAAAAAAACAGGCGTTTGATCAGCTAGACCGCGTGCTGCGATATAATTGAGTCCGGACAATTTATCCTATCCTGCAGTTCACCTTCTATCAACCCATTTAATTTGCACGTTCTTAATGAGGCTTTAATGAACAATTTAGCATCTATTTAATGAAACCGGTCGGTCTTTTCAGAAGCTAATTTATGTATTGGCATCGAATAATTACATTTAGGAGCCAGCATTCAGTAGGCTTGATTCAGTATGCCTTCTTGAACTGGTTGTGTCAATATTTAACTTACAAAAAGCACTCGAATCCAACCAAACTAATTAATTGCACAATAAACCCCTGTTAGTTTCTTCAGTTCTTTTTAATTAGTAAATGTAGATCAACATAAACCGGTAAAATTTATAAACATTTGTACTATGATCGTAAATTGAATTAAATATCACATTTCTAAATATATACTTCATGAGTAGACCGACTTTTCTCATTAACTCTCCACATTTGTTTAAAAGAGAAGTTGTGTCAATAAACTTATTTATAAGCATACCAATAGCGACATCCTAGAAATAATTGTGCAATAAGCTAGCTATACTTCTATTTTTCCGCATTCGTGCTCAAATTACAAACAAAAATAAAAATAAAAGAATTGAAGGTGAGACTATTCACTTATTGTAGCTCCTCATCCAATGTCTGTATTCATGTATTTATTTGTTGCTTTTTGGTTCTTCTTTCTTTGAGAAATAAATTAATTAGTCAATTTGGTTTGAAAACTAATTTTTTTTATCCTTTTTATCATTTTATTATCTTTATTTTTTGTTTTAAGAAATAGGAAAAAAACAAAAAAATAATTCTTTGAGAAATAAATTAATTAGTCCCTTTGGTTTGAAAGCTAATTTTTTTTGTCCTTTTTACCATTTTACCATTTTTATTTTTTGTTTTAAGAAATAGAAAAAAATAAAAAAATATGAAAAAATGCATTTTATTTTTTTAAAAAAATTATCTCATCCAATAAAAAATATCTTATTATTGTATAAATAGACCTTGAAATCCTATGTTGGATTGTTTTAGTAATCCTTATTCATTCTCGGATAATTATATAGATTAATGTGGATGAAAAAAATAAAAAATAAAAATAAATGCAACGAGAGGGAGGTAGAAATGGTTTTTGAGATAAGGAATTGGAAAGAGAGATGTGTAAATAAATTTCAATGATTCATAAAAGTGATAACTAGAGACCTCATTTCTTTTTACTTTTTAAGATCACCGTGTAGAATTAAGAAAATAGTAAATTGGAAGATTTAAAAAAAAAAGTGATCTTAGAAAAAAAACAAGTAAAATATGAAAAAAGATATTTTATAAGATAAAAAAAGAAATTATTCGTGATCAATACTGATTAAAAACTTAAAAAATTTATTTTTGAAACTAAAAGAATTAATTAATTCACTTCTCAAAATGAGATGAACTAATTTATAATTTAATTTAAAATTCAAGAATCTCTTTCATCATAAATTAAGAATTTATGAAAACCAATTTTATAATAATTTTTATTTTAATTTATTAATTTTAATATATTTAATACAGCTTATATGATTTTTTTAAAAAAATATTTATACTATATATTCTAAATCTACTAAATATATATATATATATATATATATATATATATATATATATATATATATATATATATATTGAAAATTAATTATGTATTTATATGCATAACATCAATTATTTATTATTTATATTTTTTTATGTTCTAAAATCAATATTTTTTAAATAAAATAATTGAAAAGATGTTTTTAAAAAACCTTTTAATTATTCAAATATAATTTTTTATATTAATATTATTAATTATTTTATTAATAAATATGTATAAATCAAATGATTATATCCAATAAATAAATTTAACTTCTATTAATTATAAACAATAAAATTTTTATCAATATTATATCATATGAGTGGCGAGTACCTAACTAGTAACAAGCTATAAGTTGAGTTTTTAGAAATTAATCGTGAGCAAGCGTGGCCAAGTTGTACTTCCATTTCAAACGCCTCACATTGTAGGTGGTAGGAGAGCCAGGTGTCCTCTTTTCGAGCCGCGAAATGAGAGAAATCCCGTGTGCAGTCGCTTGTGCTTTCTCTTTCTCTGTATATGCGCTATGCCTATCTGAATTACAATATTTCACAATCAAATGTAATTTGCTTCAGGTGGAGCTGGAAGGGACCCAGCATTGAACCTACATGCGCAATAAAACTAGTTTAATGAATAAATTTTCTTCTCATTTTATTATAATTTGATAATTTTTTATATTGTTTTAATAATTTTAGATTATTAATATTAAATTATATAATTTAAATCTCAAATTATTAATTTTTAGGTAAAATTAATTTAATTTTTCTAATTACAATTATATATAACGATCAACTGCTTTAATCGTTATTTAAAATATTAAAAAGACGCCGTTTTGATATTCTACTATTAATTATATTTTTTAAAAAATATTTTTAACCATCTAATATTGAATTTTTAAAATTTTTTTTCTTATAAAATATTATAAATATTTGTAACCCTCAAATTTTTAAAAAAATTTTATAAAATATTATAAATATTTTATAAGAAATGATTTTTTATATTTTATAATTTATAAAATTAGGACGGTCAACCTTAATTATACTCGTTTTAATTTATAAAATATTATAATTTATATTATATACATTTTAATGCTCATTAGATATTATAAACATTTTATTAAAAAAAATATTTTAAAAGAACATAATTAACAATAAAAAATTTCAGGCCTTTTAAAAAATATTTTATAAATTAAAATGAGCATAGTTAAGGATTGATCCCTTTAATTTTATGAATTATAAATTATAAAAAAATATATAATATTTTATAAAAAAAAGTTTAAAGTTAGGGAGGTTAAAAATATTTATAAAATATTTTTTTATATAATTTACAAAAATTTTATAATATTTTATAAGAAAAAAGATTTTTAAAAAGTTCAAGATTAAAAAGTTAAAAATATTTTTTAAAAAATATAATTAATAACAAAATGTCAAAACGATGTCGTTTTTACATTCAAAGTAACGATCAATTTATTTAACTATTATATATAATTATAATTAGATAATTTTGCTCAAAAATTAATAATTTAATATTTAAATTATATAATTTAATATTATAAATCTGAAATTGTTAAATTTGAAAGTAAAATTTGATGTTAAACCCGATAAGAGTTAAGAGCGATCGAGACTATACATGTGCAATTGGTGAATACCTACAGCTAAATTCTTCAATTTTTTATTGGGCTATACTCTTCGGTGGACCTGCCTTAACCACCCAAAACTAAAATCGGTTTTTGCTTCGCCAATAATATGGTTGGCTTCAATTCAAATGTGAGACACGGCGTGTGTTGGAAATATATTAAAAATTATTTTTGAACTTTGTCTAAGAATACTTCTATTCTGTTAACATGTGTCTATATATATCCTTTAATTAAAAAACAAATACGAATTATACCTTAAAAATGTTAAATCATTGCTTCATACGATTAAATAATTCAATTACACTCTATAAAATTTAAAATTCTATTTTGTTTATTATTCGAGATCGTCAACAAATTAGCAAATTCAATTTCAAAATATACTTTAATCGTATTTTTTTATGTGTTCTCGTCTATCTACATGTATCTTCATCCATCTAAAAAGTATCTAATTTTTTTTTTAAAAAAAAACAAATTATTAATTTTTCTTGCATCTCCAAGTTATTCACCACGTATTGTATTTGATATAAACCTACATATACACGAAGACTGTTTTGGTTATCCGCCTTAATATAGCATGAGAATTGGAAACGTGAACATAATCTCGAAAACAATGTTTATTTTGATACATGACGTATCAGAACAATTAGAATTCGAGGTTTATTGTCTCATCTAATTAAATACCAACCGTTGTGGCTTTTGATGAGGTTGTAATTTTGGAATTAATATTTATAATTGGATGACTTTCTATTCAAACTAATTGGATGGTAAAAAAATTCATTATACGAGAGATCAATGATGCATACCTATAAAACGAATTATGTTATAGTGTTTGAAAAATTATCTGATAGATAAATTAGCATAAAAAGAGAAATACTTGGCCCAAGTAAAGTTAACAGTGTTTGGTCTGAGTAAGTGTTATCATAACTAACTCTTAAAGAAGAAAAATATATAATATTGTATTAGTTTTATAATTTAGGTGATAGAACCTGCAGCACATGAAATATTAATTTTTATATAACAAGGAAAATGAACTTGCACCAAAAGAAAGGATTTGCTTTTTTTATATATATATAATGGATTCTGACATTTATTTACATTGATGATTTTTTTAGACAACTTTTTTTGTGTCCGGTTCGAAAATAATAAATAAGATTTCTATTCGAAATGCTGAATCATAATGTTTGTACAGAGTTTGTCTCATAAAATCTCTTATTATTGGAGAGGTAATCCTAACTATAGTTGTGTCAGAGGTGAAGCATTCCCATTATAGACAGAAAAGACATGTATTACAGAGAGGATTATTCGCGCACACGAGCTTCCGGTAAATCACTGAAAAAAACACAAAACAATATTAAGCTCAACTTGGACCCAACTTACGTTGACAATGAACTTCTATGATCTAAGCTGACACGATGACAGGGATAATGACCAATGAGTTCTCTGGCCTCCGATTCATAAATAGGGTGCGGCCACATGTCGGGAAAAAGGCATAATGGTACCCAACACGAGGCTTGTTGGAAGGGGGACAAACCATACCCCATGATTAAATAAAGACCTTTATACATCCATGGTAGTTCATGGACATAATCGAGAGAAAATTATATTAGAAATGATAATTATAATGTCTCATGATATCGAAAAAGACAGGTGCAATAGTGAGATAACTGAGATCTCTATACCTGTACGTACCTCCTTTGATTTAGCTTCATATGGGACAATAACGAGAAATTTGGTCATCGTTTGGTTTCATTGAAGTTGAGAATGGTTGAGTCAAGCATGAATTTTTTATCTCTTCTCTTGCCAGACAATATTTCTTATTAAAACACGCATATAATTAAAGAACCCTTTTTATACGAGGATGACTAAAACGCAACAGTTTTAAGGATAATGTTATTATATTGGACATGGTAGTTATATATATATCATTGAAGATAATACATGAGGTGTTAATAAACCATATATTAGGCTGCAAAATCATTATTAAGCTCGTGGTTAGACGTTCGGTCGTTAGATTAAGATGTATAACATGCGCGATGGTAACATACAGGAGCACAACGTGACTGCAAGCACTATTTTCATATAATACTATAGGATAAGCAAACTTGAGTTTCAACTAATAGATTTATAGTATAGAAATAGTGAAGTTTTTATACCTGTAAGAAGTTTCCAATTCAAATTCTTTTTTTAGAAGCATGTCAGATTAGAAGAAAAAAATTTACAAAAAAAGACTAAAGTAATCCCTTATTTTTTATAGTGATGATCAATTTAATTTTTTGTAATAATAAGAATTTTTTTTTATCTTATTAACTATTGACGCTAGTCTCTTAATACTTAAAAACTGAATTACTTGCAGACTTTTGTCTATAGAAAAGAAATTTAAAAAATTAACAACCATATAAATTTAAGCAAAATTAATGCAAGTCCGACTCATCACCCAAAGAGGCTATGCATTATTATACTAGGATGAAAACGGTAAGTTATTAATAATATAAAGATATAAATAAAATAGATTTTGAACTTTTCAAAAATGATTAAATTTTTATATAATATAGTTTTTATTTTTTATTTTTTCAAATTTTTAACCAAGCCGGGTTAATTTGATTTGACCAAGTCAATATACCATTTGGGATTATGATAGCTCCACATTGTTATGATATCACTAGACTCAATACTGCTATGATTTAAATTTGTTAGCACACTATTGACTATTCAGTATAGTTTGGAGTGCTGTTATCAATATTGAGAGAATTTTTTTCCCTCTAGTTAGGTTCGAGGTTACAAGTTTTTGATCAATCCGTAAGAGCAAATCAGATTTAACAGCCATTCTTCAAATGGTGTACAGTGAGACCAGAAACTGCGTACCTAACATTTCAAAATCAAAACGAAGGTGATACGTATACAAAAAGGTTTTTCCACCCATCCTATTTTGATTGTCCAATCTTAAATTTCCAACTATTTATTGTTTTGTTTGATGTAGAATTTGCAAAATAATCTATGTTTGGAAAATGTACAAATTCATATAGGAGTATTTAAAAATAGAAATTGTAATTAATCTAACAATTGATGATAAGATAGAAAATCCTATATATATATATATATATATAAAGTGGACAAACATTATAAGACTTCCCTGAAAAAAAAATGCAGACAATTAAAGTGGCATAGCGGGAGTGTATTGAAAAGGTGTATGTGTTTGTCTTGCTTAGTACGATTGTTGATTTGTGGTTTCTGGGTCCAAGAAACCCATTTTCCACGTCTACCAATTCATGTGTAAACAAATCCGTAGGAAAAAAAAAATGTGCCTTCTTGTTCAAGCTGTCTATTTGACAAAGAGATGTGCGGCATTGGTCTACAATAAGTCCACACCAGTGCCAACACGAGGTTCCATTGGAGGGGACACTTGCCTAACTGTATCTTTCTTTTATTGCACTTCAATCTGAATTCAATAATCAAACATTCATACGTGCAACCTAATAATTTTCTACCATTAGTTTTTAACCAATTAATTGGGCAGTCTATTGCAATCTTAATTATGTTGTCTCAACTTCCTAAGAAGGTATAGTTTAGGATAGCATTTTATAAACAAGTTATGCACCTTATTTTTAAATTATTCTGTATACTTTTAAATATCATCATTTCCTTGGAAAATGTTCAAGAAGCCATCTTTTAATTGCGTGCTTTTAAATATCACTATTTCCTTGGAAAATGTTCAAGAAGCCATCTTCTTATTGCGTGCTTTCTAAAAGGCTGCTTTGAAACTCTGATTACACCCAAGCAACCCCAAATAAACAATAAATTAATCGATCATGAACTCCTCCGCTACAAATTTTAGGAATTTTAATTCAAACTCCTAGCTTTAATTGGCCAGCCAACTTTCTGGGATCATTCTTTGCTCACAGTCCTGGGTCTGAGCCCAAGTAACGGAGAATGTAGCCCAAAAAATCCAAAGTTGTATGCATGTTGTATGTACAAACGAAAATGTCCTCCGAATCCTCAAAACCCCCCGGCAGACACACACCAAAGGGGGTAACAAACGAAGAATTTGGTGGCATTGCTGTAGACAAACAGTAGTAGACAACGGAAATAGGATAGTGAAAGAAATGAAGAGGTGATTTATGTGGCCAGTAACATATGAAAGAAAGGCAAGTTGATACATGGACAATTTGGATGTGGACGCCATTGTTGGAAGTGATTTTCTATGATAAACATAGAGAAGAATGGCAGACTAAAGGCTGCCACTATAATGTGTCCCTCACCTGCTACTTTAAACTTGGGACCTACATTTCGGTCCCACAAAATATTCAGTTTGATTACACAATGATTCTGATGCCTACTAGACAATTAGCTAGCATAAATATCAATCTCTTATATAAGACTTGAAATGAATTGTGGGGTTTAGAAAACAATGGGAATAAATATCAACAAAGAACGAAATAGTGTAATCCCCAACTATTTTTGCTTAATGACTGACGAGTCAGCTTGAATTGCCAATCAGTCCAAAAATATTCTGTTCGTCGGCCACTCGGCCGTAATGATTTTTGTTCAGGTCTTTTACCCCCTTGGAAAACCCAGAGCCCCAGACCTTATCGTGAACGGATCCAATTCTGAAATTCATTCGGCCATTGAAAAGCCCAAATAAATGAGTTCGGGTAGTTTACCGTGTTCGTGAGATGGTGAGCGGGCTTAAAACTTTAGTACTATGGGAATATTCATGGCTCGATACTCGTTTCATTAAAAGTAATGCAAACAAATTGACATATTGCATTAAGGATACGTTTTACAATGATTTAAGAAAAGTAATTTTTTATTTTAAGTCGTGATTTAATTTTTTTAAAAAATAAATTTAAATTAAAAATATATTTGAAATGACTCGATTTTTTTTTTTTTGAAAAGTAATGTAATGAAATTAGAATCCATAAATTAAAAATTTTAAAATTAATTTTTGATTAAATTAAAATTTTTACTTAATTTTGTAATAAAATTTTGATTTAAATCATATGTATTTAAATTTTTTCTATGAGTCAAAAGTTAAATCAATTTGCAAAAATCACACTAAAGATAACCTTAAATTGATAAGATATTTGTTTTCCATTTAATGTGATGTTTGTAAATTACTAAATCAATCAATTTTTTTGAGTTCAATGTGATATGTTATTTAGCCCACATTGCTCCCTTTCGATTGGATGACTCCCAATTGTGAGATGTCCTTGGGTAAATACTTCATTTACCATCATTTTTTTTTTTTTTTTTTTGTCTGAACCAATACCAAAATTGCCTTCGCATAGAGGTTGCGGAGTATGTCATGTATGAGGTCTCTCATTAGGATTACAAAAGAACCCCACCGTGACGGCCTAACCAACCAACAATATTGGAGACATTATCAATTGAAGTGCAATAACAAAGGTGGGTTATGCTTCTGGTATAACAAAATTATAGAAAAATCCTTTTCTCATCTAATGATAGGTAGTTGCTCCAAATTTTGTGGGGTCAATCAAATCAACAAACGAAAAATGTGTGATGGGGCTTCAGTTGATCATGTGCTATTGGATAGCGCTGTTTGCTAGAAAGTTCGTCGTCTGTAAAACAAGTAGATTTATGTTCTGGATGCAAGAAGGAAGGGTCCATACTACAAGAGAAGGCACGCCATGTGATGCTAGATTCTTATATTGAGGAAAGGGAAAATATCAATTAACAAGACTTTTAGAGCTTATCTTATCTTGACAAGTCCAACTCAAACACATGAAATATGCAGGCCCAACCCTTCCATAAGTATTTGGTATCATGGCCCTTCGAGGGACCATGGATGATGACGACATGACGTTGCCTTTTCATTTTAATATGCGTATGTGGGTGTGCCCTGTGTGTGATGCAGTGATGTTCTCTGTAATAATCAGCTAAACATGAATTTCTAATCTAATTAATTTTATTAGCTTGGCTCTTCCATCTATTTATTGCTTTCTGAGAACCTATTATAAATTATAAATAAAACTAATTCATTCACTGCTTAAAACATTATTCATTCAGATTCATTTTACTATTCATCTAAACTCGGATGTATTATTCTTTTCATTATGTAATAACATTTTTATAATTTTTAAATATTTTTAATATATTTATTATGAAAATTTTCGTCATATTGCATTTTGATTTTTTTTAAATATAATTTTTTCAATTTGTAAATATTTTTTGTTTGATTTCAATCTCTCTTTTTTATTTCATTTTGGTAACTTCACTCCTTTTTTTCTGATTTTTTCTAATAAAAACTTTTAAGGTAAAAAAATATTTAAAAAATTACAAAATAAATTTTTAGTTAAGAATCTATTGATTTTGGCTTGACATTCTTTATACTATTAAATAATTTTTTAAAAATATATATATAAAAAATAATTAGTCAAATATAAAATTTGATATAATTTGATAAACGTGTAATATAATATGAACTATAAAATAAAATAATTTTATTTATTTTGTTTGACGTGTAGCGTGTATAAAATCTAGTTTCCAACTGAAAGAAAACAAGTGTAAACGAAAAGAAACAGACTTGATAAAAACGCAACGCAGCAAACTAGTTAACTATCTCAGCATTTTCAAGCTAAATTAACAGTCCAGCCCACTATTTTAATGACTTTAAGGCCTAGCATGAATGAATCTGGGTCTATTGTTTCATAGAAACTCAACAGCCATCATTACCAAAACAGGATGGTTGTATTAGCTACAAACCTTCACCAGAACGTTCATTCACAAAAATAATTTTAACCACCGGGGAAAAATACATATATATACACAGTTAAAAGATTTATATACATCTTTCAACTCCTGATTTTGCATTATTTTTATTTATCTTAATGTCCTTTTATTTTAAAATTCATTTTTGTTAGATCCTTGTTTAACTAAAAGTTAATAGTTTTTTTGCTCGCACTTCGATGAAGATCGGATAAAATATATAAAATCATTTAGAAAAATTATTTTAATTTGATAATCTTTTTTATGGTATGAATATATAAAAATATATAAAATCAAAAGTGAAAAAAATTATTTAATAAAAAATTTTGTGTTTAACTCGTTTCTTATTTATGTTTTTCTTAATTTTTTCTTTAAAAAGAGGATTTATCCTTGTTAATCCATTGATTATTAACTAAAAAGAAAATTAAATACATTTTTTAAAAAAAGCTTTAGTATTTTATAAGATTGTGTTGAAAAACATAAATAACAATTATTAAAAGCTTATATAGAATTGAACAAATATATATATTTTTTTAATGTAATGTTGATGAGAATATCGATTTTTGAAAAAATGTGAATTTAATTTTTATATATTTATGTACAAAAAAAATGAATAATATTAAAATAAAAAAATATTAATTCGAATCATTTAATGGTTAAGCCAAAACATATTTTAAATAATTAATTCAAAAATAAATAAATAAATAGTAAATGCTTAGCATAGAAAAATAATATTATTATAATATGATCATAATATTAATAACTTATGACTATATTAAAAAAAATGATAAATTAAAATAATAAATTTTAAATAATTAAAATAATTAAAAGAAAACACTAAAATAAAATAGGATCAAATCACAATATAATTAAAGTTTATAGGAACTGGACGAGTCATCATTACCAAAATAGGATGGTTGTATTAGCTTTACGCCTTCACCGTAACGTTCATTCACAAGAAAAATTTTAACCATCGGGAAAAAATACACATATATATAGTTAAAAGATTTCTATACATCTTTCTACTCTTGATTTTGCATTATTTTCATTTATTTTAACGCCCTTCGTTTTAAAATTCCTTTCTACTAGTTTTTTAACCTACGTTATTCTGGAGATTGGATAAAATATATAAAAGCATCTAAAAAAATCATTTTTTTTATGGTTTGTTTTATAATGCGAATCTATAAAAATATATGCAATTAAAGGTGAACAAAATTATTTAATCAAAAATTTTGTGTTTAACTATTTCTTATTTATTTATTTTTAATTTTTCATATAAAAAATGATTTATCCTTGTTAATCTATAGATTATTAACTAAAAAGAAAATTAAATAAATTTTTTAAAAAAGGCTTTAGTAGTTTATAAGATTGTATTGAAAAACATAAATAACAATTATTAAAAACTTACATAAAATTGAACAAATAAATTTTTTTATTTAACGTTGATGAGAATATCGATTTTTGAAAAAATGTGAATTTAATTGTTATATATTTATTTACAAATGAATGAATAATATTAAAATCAAAACTATACTAATTTGAATCATTAAGTGGTTAAGCCAAAATATTATTTTAAATATTTAATTCAAAATAAATAAATAAATAAATAGTAAATGCTTAGTGTAGAAAAATAGTATTATTATAATATGATCATAATATTAATAACTCATGACTATATTAAAAAATGATAAATTAAAGTAGTAAATTTTAAATAATTAAAATAATTAAAAGAAAATACTAAAACAATATGGGATTAAATCATAGTACAATTAAAGTTTGAAATTGAAAAATTAAATACAGAAAAATTAAGAACCAAAGTACTAAAAAAATTACATAAATAATGAAAGGAATAGTGATGTATAAGTGTGTAAATAGTGTTTCAAATAGTGAAAATGAATATTAAAATCATGTTTTATTTTAGTTTTTTTAGTAATGGTTGCTAGTCTAGGAATAACGAATATTACCAGCATGTATCGAATACAGATAGGTGCTGAATATAGCTCGATACGTGAGGATATGGAAAAAAAAAAATGCAATTTCGGATATGTGAAGGAAAGATACAACAAGATATCGTTTTAAGTTTTATAAGAAAAAGAAAACAAGCATTTAACTAAAAACAACCTTAATTGAATATTTTTTAAATTAATTATTTGAATGTATAAACCTTTAAGACAATAAGAATTGATCATATGATTTATTTGAAGTAAAAATGTAAGCATCATAAAATCTTATAATAAGACATGAAAAAATTATTTTTAGATTAAAAAAAGATGAATAGCACTAATTAAATTCAAGTGAAAAAAACAAAATTGTGATTCATCTTATCATAATGATCATTTTAATTTTCTACAGGGTAAATTAATCACTAGACATTCAAATTATATATATATATATATATATATATATAATTTGAATAGCATTTCTTATTTTTTAAAAAAACTAATTAATTAATCTCTTAACTATAGTTAATTTAAAATTATTTTGTTCTAAAATATATCTTTTTTCCTTATTAATCCGTTACATGTTTTATTTATTTAAAGAATAAAATAAATAAAAAAAAGAAAAGGATTAAATCATGAATAATTTTTATAAAAAAAAATTATTCATAATTTAATGAAATATGTTTTATTTAAAAAATAAAAAAATTGTGATTCATCTTATCATAATAATTAGTTTAATTTTTTACAAGGTAAATTAATTACTAGACATTCAAATTATATATATATATATATATATATATATATATATACACAAAAACTATAGGTTTTATATCGTAAATTTACAATAGTTATATTATCAACTATCTTCTACACATAAAAATTAATCTTTTAACTATCTAAGTAGGCTAAACATTTTTTGTAAGCTAATTTAATAACTGAATAGCCTTTCAAATATCAAAAAATGACTTTTATAAGTATTTGCTATAGAATCAACATGTATTAAATTAAAACTATTGCACAGTTGGTTTAAAATTAAAAGTCGCCTCATCAAAAAGAATCATCATCTCATGAAATTGAAATTCCGAAAATTTCTTCAAATTTGAAAACGGTCTCTACAGGGAAATGTCATATGTTTAAGCTGTTGCACCAGTTAAAATCAGTTGAACTTTGAGCCCTTAATTCTACTTGTTGCTATTCCCTGAAAATTTCTCGAACGAACTCTCATCGCGTACGAAAATTGGATTAGTCGCATGAAAAATCCTTTTATTCTTGTCATTTTCTTATTGTGGCACTTATACTTTTTTTTTTTATCACCTCTCTTATTTTTTAATTTAGATCATCTTATAGTTTTTAGTTAATTTTTAATTTGGATAATCTTATAGTTTTTAGTTATTTTTTCAAGCAAACACGATAAGTGAAAAGAAAATACTAATACGTTTAATGTCACGACAGATAAAATTGTCACATGTGAAAAAAAAAACCGGAAAAAATAGCTCAAAATAAAGTGAAAAGGAAAAACAATAATGAAGAAAATCCCTCTCTCTTTCTCCCTCGTTTTCAATTCCTAATTCCTTCATTTGGCCGCCATAAAATGCAGAAAAATAGAAGCAATTGAAAACCTATCGCTCTGCTGCTTGTTCTTCTTCTTCCCGCAAACCCACCACCACCGCTGCCCTTAAAGCTACCTTCAAGCCCACGATAGAAACCCTTCTGTTAAAAAAGAGCCCTTAGATGGAGGACTTGAAATATAGGCTGGCCAGCCATAAATTTCTTGTTCTAGGTTCGAACATTGGTGGAAATGTTTTGGTTAATGGGGTTTTAAAGGAGTCTAATTTGACCGCGAGAAATTTGAATGCGAACTCAATTGATGAAATTATAGAGGAAAGGTAGGAGGAATGGGAAGAGGAAGGGATTGTTGCTTTTTTAAGAAATGCGAACCTGGGTAAACTTATACTGGGTATATTAATTGTATGTGTAAATGGCAGATAAGTTCACGGCATGAATGTATGTGTGTATCCATTGTCTCTCATGGTATTTCTGGTGGGTGCTTGGACATTCTGAAATCCAAAAACTAACTCAAGAAGTGATGTTTTTTCTTGACATTAATAACCAAACACTCAATCCTTTTAAAATTAATGTGAGATAACTTTAACAGTCTTTTTCTTCAAATATCCAAATTAGCTATTATCAATTTGTGTAATGTCAATATAGAAGAAATCATTTAATTTGGGTTTCGTTGCTAATGTTGGGTGGTATTAGGCCTTTTCAAGATCAAAATTATTTTAAAAAGTAATTTTCTTTTTTACTTATAATCAAGCATCAAACTCCTTTTATAATCGATCTAGGATAGCTTAACGATCTCTTTCTTTATATATAGAGCTTTAAATTATTTATTTTTTATGAATTTTTGTAATCCCAACATATAAAGAATTATTTAACCTGAACTGCACTATTAGTGTTATTTTTCATCAATTTCCTAGTTCAAAAAATGAAAATTTTCCTAACACATACCGCTTCTACAATTGACGTGGAATAACTTAAAAATTTCCTAGTTCTTTATTAAACTTTGAGTCACGAGCAACGACATGTAATTTGGGGTACTTGGTTACTCATTTATTTGGCAGGTTATTCACTACCTGGACTTTTGAATCAGTGCATCTTCTATGCTGTCTATTATAACACAAAATATGGGCTTCCTCTGCAGTAAACATCGTCGATACAATGAAGCAGAAAGAGAATGCACAAGTGAGTTACAGTGGATGAAATGCATGATTTGTACTCTTCTACTATGATACTGGCGATTCTGTATAATCTAGTCCGTGGTGATAATTATCCCTCATTCTTTGTATAATTTTAAGTTTGCAATTTGACTCTTGGCATTTCCAGGCTGCAGAAATCGAAAGGCGAACTGGACAAGAAACCAAAGCTGAAAAGTATATTAAAAAAATTCTGCTTCTTGGCATAAGCAATTCAAGCTTATTTCTCATTGCATTAATTATTTGGCATTCATGTTTCCTATTATGTTAATTGTTTGCATCTAAAAATGTATGCTTAGTAATTGAAGTTTGTCATGTTTATTTACAGTCTAGATTAGAGAACAAAGGCACCATTGGTACAGTGAATGGCTTCCCTGGAGAGGCACTCTCTCTCGTTTAGCAAAATATGAATCATTTGCCAAAAGTCTATTTCTCCTTTTCTTGTTCTTCTCTAAAGTTAGCAGAAAATTTGAATTTTTTTAAGAATTTTTAAGAAAATGAAAAATGGATTTTTAATAATCATTTGCCAAAAATTATTTGTGATTTGTCTCATTTTCTGTGATTCAATTGACTTTCGATGATTGTTCGCAATGTTACAATATATATATTTTTTAATTGCTTAATAGTAATTGTTTATTCTAAAAAAAATGGAGAAATGATGAGTAAAAGCAACTATCTTATTATATGCATAGCTAATAATACATGTTATACATATTTAAATTAATTTTATGTTGATAATTAATATAAATTGGCTATTGGATTAATTAATTAATAAACGAGTTATCGGTTATGCTATGGAGATGATTCATTATCTATCTTATCATTTCGGATATATGCTACATGTTAGATTTTTTTTATCATCATTTGTGTTATTTTCATAACAAAAATATTCATACAAATTTATTATAAGTATTTAAATATATAAATATAATCACAAGGGTATTATAGTAAATATACAATCATACATTTTCTTTTCTTCCTCTTTCAAACAAAAGAAATGTATTTTCTTTCCTTTCCTTTCTACTCTTATCCAAACAACAAGTGAAAAATGATTTTCTTTCCTCCCTCTTTTCTTTCTCTCACTTTCTTTCCTCTTTTCTTTCCTCCCAAGAGGAATTATCCAAACACAGGGTAAAGAAAAAGGAAAATAGAAGATGGCAAAAGAATGTGTTTGAATTTTAATGCAGTTTTTCTTTCTTTCGTTGTGTGAAGAAAGCGAAGACAATTATCATTGAAGCCGTCCACCACATGGGAAAGAGCAGGGAAACAGAAACTCCCACACGAAACTGAAAAGCTCGATGAAAGAGGCAGACGAGGCTCAGTTACTGACAAAACAATTTCTTTCAATGCTTCAAACAATAATTTCAGGCATCTTGTCGTAGCATATGCCACAAGTGTATGGTTCGCATACATACTTTGTTTTTACGGAGGACTAACCATAAGGCAGTCACTAAATACATGTCAGCCCCGAGCATTAAAAATGGGTATGGCAATATAAAACGATTATTTAATTTAATAAATATTCATTAAAATATTTAATAGATATTAAAGTGAATAAGAGTGGAATAATACATATTTATTAATATGATTTTAAAATATAGGTACTCAATGCTTATTTAATTAATATTCATTAATTTATTTTAATTTTTTTAATATATAGAGATCTAATTACATAAACTTTTAAAGTTAAAAATCAAAATATTTTTTCAAAAACTTTGAGGACACAAAACTTATAAATAAAGGAGCAAAATATAAAAAATATTAAATTTAGAGGATCAATTTTTTTTTAAAAAATTATATGAACTAAAATGAAATATTTTGATAAATTATTTTTAGCATGTACCAGGTGGATATTAAATGGATTATAAACTAATATAAGTTCGATATGAGTTGAATAAAGATTTACAGTTTGATTTTTTAATAAGTAAAATATTTTTTTATAAATAGGGTAAAATTAAATTAATAGATTGGATATCCGTCTATTATCATGTCTATGTAAAAATGACAATAGTTCAAATATCCATTCTATTTATTTATTTATTTTTTTATCTTATTCATTATAAAAATATTATGTTAATATTCGTTAAGAAATGATTTTCCAAACCCCTAATAGGTCCATATATAATATCCATTTAAAATTTACTAAAAATAATTTCTCAAACATTTCATTTTTAGTTTTTATAATTTTTTTTAAAAAGTTATTTTGGTCCTCTGGAATAATACTTTTTGAAATTTGGTCTTTTGCTATAAATGTTTTGGTTAATAAAGTTTTCATATAAAACATTTTAGTTCCTAATTTATAAATTTTGTATAATTAGGTCCCTCCATGCTATTTTTTTTTAAAAAAAAATTAGTTGGTATTAGTTGGATGTCAAGTAGATATTTATATTCAAAAACTATATTAATATATTTTTTATTCTTACTCATCTCACTGCCTATTAAACAATTTTGATAGATATTTATTAGTTCAGATAGAACGAATCGTAGCTTCACATTCGATCAATTACCATTCTTATCCACGATTGAGGATTGAGTAGGTCTAGTGTGCAAGCCTGGAAAGAGAGCTGAAGGTAGAAGAAATCTCTTCAGCGAATATTACAATATTATAGTTGGGCATGACTTGATTGCCACGTTGCCTCTCATTTTTTCTCACGAAGAAAAGGAAAGAAATGCACAGGCTTCTAGAATGATCGAGCCACTGTATGCTGTTAATGGTATGGACCTATTTTAAATGCATAAAAGGAACAGCAGGATTGAAATTAAATAAAATTCCGATAAGGGAAGAAACCCAAACTTAAACATTATTCAATGGATTTCGACCTAACAAAGAAATACAATATTCCCTCACGTCCTGAATTTTTAAATAAAGTAGTGCTCAAGTTAAATATACTAAAAAAGAATAAAAAATAGAATTTTTTGGTCCACAATGGGTTTTTATTTTCATTTTTGTTGTTTATTCAAACAAGCATGATGCAAATTTGAATAACTTAGTAAAGAGAAAACAGCTAATTAAGCTAATAAAATGACACTTAAGGCAAACATAACCAGTTAACCACCAACTTTGGGAAACCATTTTTGTCATGCCGAAAGCTTAATTAGATTGCTGTTAAAAAAAAATTTAGTTAGATTTAAATGTGAAAATTGAAGGAAAATATAAATGAATTTTTTTGATGAAAAATCTCACGTTCGTATTTTCTTCAACTTTCACGTCCAAAAATCTAACTGATTTTTTTAAATAGGAAGTAATTAAGTTTAGTTCAAGATTTTATAACTAATTTTGAAAATTTTTAAAAATTTACAGAGGAACAATCAATATTTATTTAATATGTTCTTTTAAAAGGACCAAAACTTTTAAAATTAAAAACCAAAATATTTTTTCAAAAATTTTAAGGTTACAAAACTTATAAACAAAGGATCAAAATATAAAAAATATTAAATTTAGAGGACTAAAATTTTTTTTTGAAAATTACATAAACTAAAATGAAATATTTTGATAAATTATTTTTAGCATGTACCCGGTGGATACTAAATGGATTGTAAACAAATATAGACCGCGCATGAGTTGAATAAAGATTTATAATGTGATTTTTTAATAAATAAAATATTTTTTTATAAGTAAGATAAAATTGAATTAATAGGTTGGGTATCCATCTATTACCATCTCTATGTAAAAATAACAATAGTTAAGATATCCATTCTATTAATTTACCCCTTGTTTGGATAAGGTGGAAAGCGAGAGGAGGGGAAAGAAAATAGGGAGAAAATGAAAATTTTCCTCCGTTTGGTTTGCGAAGAAAGCTATGGAAAGAAAAAAAATATTAAACAAATCTATAAGTGGTGGGATCCATTTTCTTCCCAAAATTGGGAGGAAATGGGGAGAAAAACGCAAGGAAACTGATTTGTTTTTATTTTTTTCGGTTTCACCTTTGCTCGGCGTTCCTTCTCTTTCTCTTCCCCGCCCATCTTGTCTCTCGCGCAAATCAACTCTCTCGCTCTCGCTTACCAACAACCTAGATTTCAGCCTCGACAAGTTGGTAATGGAGCCCAAATAGAACCTAAGGGTTCGATAAAACGCAAGGAAACCGATTTGTTTTTATTTTTTTCGGTTTCACCTTTGCCCGGCGTTCCTTCTCTTTCTCTTCCCCTGCCCATCTTGTCTCTGCGCAAATCAACTCTCTCGCTCTCGCTTACCAACAACCCGCATTTCAGCCTCGACAAGTTGGTAATGGAGCCCAAATAGAACCTAAGGGTTCGATAAAATAGAGAAGAAATAAAGATGGAAGTATAAGGAGCTTAACAATTTTTTTTTTTTTTAAAGGAGATCAACCACTCGAACAAGATATGTTGTGGTCCAAGAAAAACCATGCATGAAGAATAGATGATAGATGAAGAAGAGGAAGCTCGTTGAGAGAGAGAGAGAGAGAGAGAGAGAGAGAGGGGGGAGGGGGGGGGGTGGGTGAGAAAGAAAAGGGAAAGCTGGAGCCAAAGGGAGGACATGACAAGCACATTTGTGTTGCAGGGAGAGGCAACGCGCGATCCCGCCAACGAGCCACGTGATGACCCTAGCTAGCTAGATGGAGTAGAAAAGATGCTATATTCACAAATTGATATTAATTTTTATTTATATTTTTCACATCGTATCGATATTTTTAATTAAATTAATAGATTATTTATTTATTTATTTTTGTCAAAGGTAGTCATCCTTTCATTAAGAGGAAGTATTTTAGTGATTTATTCTCTCGCTAAATGATTTTGGAACATCATCACCATAAAAACAATTTATGATTATAATATTTATGATTATTATTATTATTATTATTATACCATTATTGTAAATCTTAAGTCAATTCAAATGAAATTATATAAAAAAAAAATCGGAGAAAATAATGGGTAAAAGCAACTAACTTATTATATGCATGGATAATAATACATGTTATACATATTTAAATTAATTTTATGTTGATAATTAATCTAAATTGGCTATTGAATTAATTAATTAATAAACGGTTATTCTATGAAGACGATTCATTATCTATCTTATCATTTCGGATATATGTTACATGCTAGATTTTTATTTTATTATCATTTGTGTTATTTTTATGAAAAAAATATTCATACAAATTTATTATAAGTATTTAAATATAGAAATATAATCACAGGGGTATTATAGTACATATACAATAATACATTTTCTTTCCTTCCTCTTTTTACAATTATCCAAACAAGTGAAATGTATTTTATTTCCTTTTCTTTCCACTCTTATCCAAACAACAAGTGAAACATAATTTTCTTTCCTCCCTCTTTTTTTTTCTCTCATTTTTTTCTCTCTTTTCTTTCCTCCCAAGAGGAATTATCCAAATAAGGGGTTGATGCTAGGTCGGATCCAAACAGAGGAGAGAGAATTGTTTGTGTTTTCTTATACCAAAAAATGTGTTTTTTGTCCCTTTAAGCTATTTTTCTTTTCCACTTGACAATTTTATATAATATAACATTATACATATTAATTTTTTTTTATCACATCTTGCGTTTGTTAGAAAAATTAACTAAAAAATTATTAAAAGAGTCGACAGTCGTATTGAAAAAAATAATAATAAAAAAAAGCTACCTCAAGAAAAATATCAAACACAGTGGGACATTTCTTGCTGTTGATGCTACGAAGGTCTGATCGCTTGACCATCCCAAATTATCATTGCCTGCTTTAGCCATCACATCTCATCAATGCCTCGAGTGCACCAGGTGATGCACACAATTGACGCGCACAAAAAACGATGCAATGCATGAATCGAGCCAAGTGTAAGTGAAAGTTTAAGCAGAGCTTATGATTCTGAGTAGACGCATCATATCTGATGGTAATAAATCGAAGAACACAAGTCATCATTTAATCGCATAGAAAAATATTACTCCTTAATCATTCAAAATGTGCGATGCGTATGGCTTACGTCTTCAGTGGTTTGGGGATTAGAAATCGTAGTCTATTCTACATCCTTTTCTTCTTGTGTTACTAAATATTCGTGACGCTTAATAATATTTTAGTAGTGATTTGCAATGCATTAAATCAATTAGTCAGAGGATTTTTTTTTCTGCGAAACATCATAGATTACTAGTTATGTTAAGAGCTGTACTGCTATTTCTCACGTAAGTATAAAATTCGTCATGCAAATTATTTACGGATCTCATTTTTGTGCGAGAGAATAAAAATAATTCATTATGAAAATAATTTACAAGTCTATTTTTTTTATGAAAAATTAAGCACTACTTTTTGAATAATTTTTCATAAAAAGTTAGACGTAAATTAAAACAGAACAGAACAAGTAAACTAGAATTAGAGCTGGATTAAGCTCTTTTAAATTCGTAATTCCATCATAAGCAAAAGTGACAAATCTTGATTACATAATCTAACAATCCAAACCAAGTAAGAGAATTTAGCAATGCAAATTCCTAGTCACCAATATTCTTTTAATATAAAATATATTATCAAATATTTTATATTGGTCGTGTGTTAATTTTGATTTTGCTATATCTATTTATCCTAGTATATTAATAGTTGTTGTTGTACTGGTACTGGCATTCGAGCCTTGGTTGCTAAGATTTTGAATTGAACACCAAATACAAGACCCAAAGAACCTTAGTGCTAAAATATCCATTTGTCCTAGTGTTAAAGGATAATATTGCATGAAAAAAAAAATCACAGGAATATATACAATGATGGAAGTTATAATATTTTACAATTTTCAAATTATTTATTCTATCTGTCTATTTGTATAACATTGTTAAAAAAATTTCGTTATATTCATCTTTATCCATCATAAAATTCAAAAGGTAATAAAATGAAATGAGGCATTCTGTGCACGTTAAACTCCAATGGTTTATTTCATCTTTACTTTGAAACTTCCCTTATGAGCAATGACAATGGATGTGACCTTTTGGTGGGTTTGAAATTCGAAAAATAAGAAAGAATAGCTAATTAGTAATTAACCAGCCATACTCAGGACCCATCCCCCCTTTGCTACTGTCATTCACACATTCCAAATCGATCATTCCATAAAGACTGGGAAGCAGACTCAAAGTAGACGCTGCGCCTCATGTCTCAGTTAGCAAATAAGGGGAAACATCTCCTTTCATACTCGCCTTCCATTAGCCATGGTACGAAACGGCAGTTGACGTGACAACCTTCTGTCTTACTTACCATACCAGCAGCAATGAAAACCCCTATCTGCTAGTCTTCCTACACCTATAATACCACACCATAATCTTATACTTGTACACATCACATCCGTTTCAGTATTCATTTGGGTACTGCTGTAGAGTATTTTTATTTTATTAACTTTTCTTGCATACACATAAGATAAAAAAACTGTACCCGAAATAATCGAATATGAAGCGTGAATGTTTTCTTCACCAAATTAATTGAAGAAAAATATGTGTGCTTCTTTATCGATGAATATTCTGTCCTTTAAATCACAAGGAAAATAAGTTTTTGTCCCATGTATATGACTCCTTTTACCGAGAAAAGTAATTAATATATTTTCCTCTCCACTCTGGAGTTCATGTTTATGGCTGAGAATTACAGCCAGAAGTCAAACGTCTTCCCCAACCACGCTCGCCGAGTTTTTGTTCGCGGATCAGACCTTTGAATGACGAGACACTTTTTATTCAACTTAAAGAGCAAGCTGGAAGCAAGTGTTGCTTGTATCTTTTGCACTAACCTTTTTTATCAAGGCCTCTGATCAGTATGCCTGCCAGCAGGGGGTGGGATTCCATTCTAGCTCATGTGTAGTACGAAGCAACAGATCAGTTGGTCTAGCACGAAAGAGGAATAGTCAAACCCCAATACAAAAAAACAGTCTAAAGAATAGCCATATCTTGTATAAATTTATCCAAAAATATAAAAAAGATTCATAAGGTCCAGAGAAAGTCAGACAAAAGAAGGCTTGGTTTTGCATAATAGGTAGGGTTTGAATATTGCATGGCTGAAGGAAAACTTCAACAATTGAACCATGCCTATTACGAACCCAGGTTCACGAGTGTAAAAAAATTGGCAATTTTCGGAAGAGAAAATTGTCCTTTTTTGCATCTACTACGGCAGTCTCTACACTAACCTCCAAAATTTTTGGGGTTCATTTATGAAATCTCTGTTCCCAATTTACTTTTCCATGCGTTTCTACCTCTAAAATCGGCTCGCCTGAACGGATGATGTCACGAGTTGCTGATCCCGGCACGTGATCTCTGGGACTTGTACATGCATTTTTGTTGCTAACTTTACGGTTTTATCAGCCCTGAACCAGAAAATGAGTAGGGATTAAGGAAGGGAAGGTCTGAGAAAATAAATGTTTTGTCTTGCAAAATTGATCCTCTATTTTGTCGAGGATTTTTATAGGTCACTTCTACAGTTCGACGCCTATTTTCTCTGAATGGAAAGTTAAGACAGGACCCAAAGCTTCTCCTCCTCCTCCTTGTTTTGTTTTTTCACTTTCTGAACTGTGAAAGCAGACAGAACTGAAAAACTTGAATCTCATCTCTGTAGGAAACAATATGCCTTTAATCTTTAATGTTCTTTATTTCTTGTATCATAATTAATTATTTGAATACCTGATTTAATTTTTCAAATTAATTAGATTCTTGCAGTATATGTTCAAAACCCTTATGAATTAATTGTTTATTATTTTTAAATAGTTAAAGATAAATCTCAATTAAGTGCAAAATTAATATACTCATTTTCAATTGAGTCCCAAAACTATTTAATAAATTCTCAGTCAAGTCTTATTGTTGACGTTCATCATCATTCTTGCCTAATTTTCTTTAAAGTAATGTCATTTTAGTGCATAAATATACACAGTAGATCAAAATCAAAATTTCCTTAAATTAACGCAATTTTATGTATATAAAATATGTACATTTGATATAAATTAGGAAAACGAATTGACAAAAAAATATGATTGAAAAATGTAGAAAACTTTTGGAATATAATTGATAAAATTATAAGTTTGTGATGTGATTGAGAATGAATATATATATTTTAGACTAAATTGAGATTTTTCCTAATAAAATATGTGAAAGAAATCTAATTTGTCATGTCATGGAATTTTTAATTCAGCAAACAGCATCGACAACTATCACAGTCGTTGCGTGTCCAATTCAATTAAAAATATGTGATTAGTGCACACATGAGTGCCAAAGTAACCAAGCCTAAACTCCAGCGGATAGTTCGGGATGGACGGACTTTTTCCTGGATATTACTTTCTTCGCTTTGGCTTCCTTGACTAATTAATTAGACAGCTTGGGAGTTACCAGTGAGTTTTTGTAGTTTGGTAAAACTAATTAATTAGTCCTTGTAATTCATAAACTATGTATTTCATCGTCATGCTTTTAAATTCAATTAGAATATAAATATTTTGTACATTTTATGCTTTTTTTTTGTGTTTTTTAAGGAATGAAAAAAATATTAAAGATTGATGAGAAACAAATATATTTTTTTAAAAAATAAAAATAAAATAAACTTGTGTTGAAAATTATTTAATTGTTTTAATATTATAAGAATTAATTATTTTATTCCGATAAACTACAACAATTCAGTTATAAATAACTCAATAAGATAGTCAGTTAATATATATATATATATATATATATTATGAAATTTTGAAAATTCCTTTTATTTTCAAGATCTTGTGCCCTACTAACTAAATTTTTTTTTTTTGCCGTTTACTAACAAAGTTCGGTTGATGGAGAAGTTATTATAATCACATGACACCATCCAAGTATCCAACCGAGGAAAAACTGTGGGTTGTTCTGGAAGGGCTGGGGGCATGCCTCGAAACCCTAAACCATTTAATTTTCTCCAATATACTAATTTCGTTCCGGATTCCAATTTTCTGAGAAAAAAAATCAGTTCATTGTCGTTCCAAATATAATGTTGTTATAAGCAGAAGAAATTTAAAAATTCCGTACGAAGGCCATGTAGACAGCAAGGGTCAGGATCCTGAAAAAAAGAAAAAACAACACAGGAATATCAGATTTGCAGACAAAAGATCCAGGATGCACGAGAGAGAGAGTTCTCTCTCCTTCACGCCGCCAAAGCTAACTTTGGTTTGTCCTTCAATCCAGGCGGCATTGAATGCAAAGATTTTATAGTAATCTCCAATTTCAATTTTCATGATTGCAGAGATTTTATGCCCCTAAGAGTGAAAGATAAACCGATGGATTTCAAAAGTCACACCCCTACATCTCTGCTTACCTACCCTGCCACCCTACTCTTTTGCACCACTGGATCCTATCTCTTCCCCTTTGCACCGCCTGCTTCACTATGCATACTCATACGTATAATATTATGTACGCACACACACACACAGATATATATATATATATATACACGCTGCACCTTCATCCATTTGTTCGAATTTCTCTGGTTACCAGTGCATAATCCTTTTTTCTTCTTTTATATCTCTTGTCTCCGCCCTGAATATTACTTTTGCCGGTTTGTTCTCTAATGGCTTCTAAGGCACCAAACCCTAAACCTTTGAACCCATCTGCATCTCCTTTCATGAGAGCTGAAACAGCTTTGTCCTCGTCATTTCTCCCACCAAACAGTGAAATGATCGTGTTACCTTCCAAACTATTCCAGCTTTCACATGAGATTTATGGCTCCCATCCACAGCAGCAATCTCAGCTAACGTGGGAGGCTCGACCAGCGCCCACCGTTGTTCCTGGGTTTTCCCCCAATCCCTACCTCTCTTTTCAACATCAGTACACCCAAGCTTGGGTATTCCAAGAGGCCACTGCCTACTACAACATCCATAAGCAGCCTTACACCGTGCCCTACCTCCCGCCTTATTACAGGGACGGTGGAGACCGAGGAACATACTTTACCCCCAGTGAGGATTTGAAAGAATCTGACGCTGTCAAAGTTGAGGAGAAGGTGAAATGTGACGGTTACTATTCTGTGGTTTTGGGCAACAAGGAAAAGAGGGTTTTCAGTCGAGGTGCTAGGAGGTTTGTGGCACCTCCTCGGCTAAGGGCAAAGAGAAAAAATGGTGGGGGTTTTTCTGCGGAGAAATCATGGGTTCCTAAGATTGAATCCAAGTGGTGTGAGGAGAGCAGTGTTGATCGGGGGTTGAGTGCTAAGGAGGACGATGGGGTACTTGCTTCTGCTCCTGTTGATGATCCTGATGATGTCCTATTAGCAGGAAAGACTACTTTAATGATCAAGAATGTTCCAAATCAGCTTGGGTAGGTTAATTTCTCATCATAATCTCCTATAATTGTTTTCTTTGTATCTTCTGTTGAATTTAATTTGTGGCGCTTGCTATACTGGGTGTATGACTGATTTTGGTGTTTTTTACCGTTTTTGGAAATTATCTTATATGCGTGCATTCAATTTTTGGTGTTAATAAGACATCATGTTAGTACTTCACTTACGAAGTGATAATTTCTATAATTTATGGTCATGGAGTAGAAGGCACGATTTACTGCAAATCCTGGATGCGCACTGTTTGAGAGAGAATCAAAAGTTTGTGCAGCAATTTGATAGCTTTAAGTCAGAGTATGATTTCTTCTACTTGCCCATGGACTTTATGTAAGTGACTTGCCTACCACTCTTTTATTTAAGAATCAGTATGTTGCTATTTCGTATAGATGCTTGGCCATGTAACTCATTGTTTCTCCGGAAGTCTGTTATAGAATGGGGTATATCCCATGTTAGAGTTGTTTAACTAGCCTTCGTTTCTCTGCTCCGATGTACCATACAAAGATATATATGTTAGGCCATGTAACAGATAAGCCAAAGCTGTTCTGAAACTTTCTGTTGCTGTTTGTATCTGTCTCATATATACCGTGCTATATAATTGATACGAGCAGTGTAGAAATGTGTACTTATGAAAATTGATGTTAAAACCTTAGGAGACGTGCAAATCTGGGTTATGCGTTTGTCAACTTCACAAACGTAGTTGGAGCTTCAAGATTTTGGAAAGCATTCAATAAGTACAAGTGGAATGTCGGCTCAAACCGGAAAACATGTGAAGTATCTTGGGCAACTATCCAGGTCAATCTTGCTTGTTACTTTGTTTGTCTTTCTTTTGACCTGTCTCTAGTGTCAACTGAGTTCACTAACCCTTGATGTATGCGAATGAACTTCTTTTAATTTGGGGGATCTTTGGTGAAAATTCAGGGAAAAGATGCTCTCTGCAATCGCTACAAGAATTCTGTGTTTCCATGTCATTCCAATTCCTATTTGCCTGTGGTTCTATTGCCTGCACGTGATGGGTGGAGGCAGTCCACACCTAGACTTGTTGGAAAGCGGGTAGGACCAGCTTCTCCACTGGCAAGAGGTGTTTTCCGTCGGAAGAAATCCGTTAACTAGTAAACAAGTTCTTAATTCTTCAGCCTTTTGATTGCTAGAAAATACTTGTTGCTGCTCTTTGTTGTAGCTGAATGGTTAGGACTTGTATGGGTCGTCTGATTTAGGTAGTGTAATTAATATGATGTCAAATAGTGTAGTGGTGTCTTAGTTAACCTTTGTTTTCATTCTCCCCCTAGGATTGGTGAGAAGTTGTATGGTCAAAATCATGGGTGAATTGGAAACATGGGCTTGGGTTTGGATCGGTTATGCTTGTTTGTAAAATAATACTATGCTATGTTGTATGAATTTTGATTGAACATTCAGTACTCCTTTAACTTAAATTTCATGAGAGAATATTTAAATCAAGTATACTTTAACAATTAAGAGTATAATTATAAAATACTAAATTTATGTAATTTTTCTTTCTATCATAGAAGGAAAAAATTTAAAATTAATTTTGAAATAGTATATAATCAGAAAAGTAATATGATTATTCTAGTTTTTTTTAATGAATTTGGGAAGCAAAAATATTAATAATAATACAAATTATCTTTTTAAGTTAAATTTCTTTCCTCACGAAAATAAAAATTTTGTAAAATCTTTGTTTCTTTGCAAAATCTAATATAATACGCGATCATCCATTCGAATATTTTAATTCTTTGTGCTTGTTATTTTTATAAATTAATGCTAACTAAAATCTCAATATATTATGCATAAAAATATTATATTTTTTCTATGAATTTATCGGTAGAATAATAAAATTTTTATTTTCATTTCTCTTCAATTATTCTCTCTTGGCAATTGTGTATAAAGAAACCATAACAAAACAAGAAAATAATATTTTTATTTTATGTTTCACGATCGTCATTGCCTTATTTAATTTTTTTTATTAGGTAATATTAAAATCACTAATTGACTAGATTTATAGCACGCATCCAACAAGAGCTATGTGGTGTTTCAGTTCGCCCAATGTTTCTCTAGAGAAATTGTGGTCTGAAACGTTTTTAATTTGTAACAGTTAGAAGTCCCACGGATTTTTATTAAAGCTATTATCGGTCGCTGATGCATGTGACCTTATTGGTATTCTTGCAAAGTTTGTTATGTTTCATTTTATTTATTACGAAGGAAAAGATGGTGACTGGCGAGTTTAGTGTTCAGCTATTCTTTCCAATTTATAGGTTAAAAGCGTCGTGCTCGAGACTTGAACCATTAGTAATTAAGAGCTACAATTTGGCGTGCGTGATATGGTGACGTAGACGATTGAGATTAGTTACTGTTTGTATGTTGACGGTGCTTTCATTCTTTGAATAAAAAGCTTCTTCGTTTGAATAGCTTTGTTTTCGAGAAGTTTAACCTTCGTTGCATTCTGAATCCAAATCATTTGGCGTGAACAGAATGAGACGTCGTGACACTTCTCTCAGAGGTTTCTTTTTTCCTTTTATGGTTTATATCATAATATGGTTTGTTGATCTGCTTTTGAGTGAGTTCTTTAAACTCTAGGAGCGTAGGCACAACAACAAATGTCATCTGATCAGATTTTTGTTTTTTTCCATAAATCTAAAAGTATCAATTACATGTAGACCTGCACTAGTTTTGATCGTTTGATGATGATCAGTTGTCTGGATTTAATTGTGCTTAGCGCAAATAATGTTAGCAATTAGGATTAATAGTCTGATATGTCCTTGTTAACAAGAAGCTGAGTTTTTAATATGTTTTTATATCTTAAAATGAGTTGATTAAGTTTTTGTTATTTAAACAAGTTATTAATTTATCATTTCAATTAATTTTTGATGCTAAATTATCTGAAAATATTACAAGATCTGCACATGATTTTCTTTTAAATGCTCTTTGCAGTTTAACATGCTAAGTTTTAATTTTTGTTATTATATAATGAATTGACTTTAATCTGTCTTTAAAATTGAAGAGTATATTACATTATTGTTAATAATTTTTCTAATAACTTGTTACACTATTGTGAATTTTTTGTTAATTAAAATAGATATGTATGAATAATTAGCACGTGTTGGTGTGTAGGTGTTTAAAGAATTATTATTTAATATATTTTTAATGTTAAAGAGATCATTATATTATTGTCATTATAATAATTCATTTATCTATAATATTGAACAAGTTGATATAATATTTACTAATATATTAATTAATCTCAATAAACAAAAAAAATGTGAAATGTGCGCTAAAAACAAATAATTATAATTTCAATAATTGTTAATTAGTCTCTCAAAGTATTACATTAATTAATTGCTAATTAATATCTTAAGTATGTAATTTTAAAAAATAATTATATTTTTTAATTATATAATGATTTTTTTATAAGATTCACGTGTTTTTTTATATATATATAAAGATGAATTAATATATTAGTAAATATTATATCAATTTGTTTAATATTATACATAAGTGAATTACTATAATGATAATAATATGATGAATTCTTTAGCATAAAAACGTTAAATGATATTAACTGTTGTATAATGGTGCATTACATGTGTATTATATAATGGTGCAACACATGTATGTTAATATGTACTAATTATTTTTATATATTTTTTAATTAACAAAAAATTCACAGTGGTGTAATAGATTATAAGAAAAATTAATAATAATGCTATGATGAATTATTTAACATTAAAAATAAATTGAAAACTCAATCTATTATATAATGACAGATTGAATTAAGTTGAATTTTAGTAAGAAAAAAATCATGTGTAAGTCATATGATATTTTCAAGTTATTTTGTGGGAAAGATGGATTGAAAAATTGTTTAAATAATATAGACAGACTGGGCTCGTTTTAAGATATAAAACATATTAGATGGAAACTTCACGACATATCCAGCTATTAATCCTAGTAATTGTGTTGAATTGATTGATGTTAGCCACATAAACAGATAAGTGGACGAGCAGCTAACTGTCCTTCGTGAGAAAAAACTATATAATCTTCTAACGTACTGGACACTCATCCTAGATATTCTTGGTTGATGCCGAAGGAAGAGTACTACGAGTTGAATGCTTTTTGTATACATAAGAGAGAAAGAGATAGGATCATTGAATTCGAGTATAGAACTATGGTTTGGTGGCTTTTTTAAATTGAAATAATTAGACACAATAGAGTTGGTACTTAGAGGTGTATGGGATATTACGAAATAATTTTGGCAATAAGAAACTTTTAACAACCAGCTTGAATTTTCAGAAGAAAATTCGTGGGGCCTGGCCACCTTACGTACATGAAACCAAAGGTTCACAAGATATTTTGACTCCGTACAATAATCAAGAACATGCACGCTGACATATAAACTAGCTTGCTTGATCAACAAAGCAAATTCACCCATACTGTCCTATTTTATCTATGAAAAATAAGAATATGTAAATATGGCTAAAACTCTCCAACACTTGGACAGAAAGAAGTTTTTGATTTTTTTTTTTTTTGAACAAAAAAAAAGATGAAGTTTACTCCAATGTGGTCGGAGACATTATTATAACCCAAGGGAACATTCTGCAACAAATTTGCAAGGTAATTAGGTTGATATGGTTTCGTCGTAAAGTAAGTTGGAACAGTCAGTGTGGGGCAATTAAGTTTTTTAAATATATTTTTATTAATTTTCACCCCCGCAATAAATTACGTTGCTTTTATCACATGTTTTTATTTCAAATAAAATAAACCTTAATCAAACACTGAATTTTAATTTTAATTTTAATTTTTAAATAGCTTTCCTTTAAGAAAAGAAAAGCACAACAACACTAAATACACTCATAATTGCGATCCATTGGCTTGGAGAGATCTAAAATGCAAGTGGCAGTTGAGCAAAAGTTAAATATTTCGGTCTCGGTAGCCCACGTATGAAGTAAAGTAAGGAAGCAATTTACAAAGAAAGGGGAAATGAGAAAGTGAACGTACGGAGAAGGCCCAAACCATTGTGCTTGACGACAGCCCATTTCCTATTACGTGGGTCCAGTGTCATCAAAGCTGAGAGTGGAGAGCAAAGCCCAACTGAGAGAGTTTATCAGAGAGAGAATATTCAGTTAACAAAAAAGTTTCTCCGAGCTTCCGGTTAGTTGTCTCTGAAGCTCAGATTTGGGTTTTGTAATCTCCTGTTTTCTCATAACGAAATTTCTTTTGATGACTCAGACGTGGAAATAGATTTTGAGTGCCGAACAACAGCGTTTTTACATGCACGTATGTAGTCGTTTATCCCCATTGAAATCTGGATCTGTAGGTAAAATCAAAATCAAATGGTTTAAGAAATTATTTCTCCGAGTGATGTGCCCAAATGAGCAAGCGTAAACAGCAAGGATATATTTTCCTGGGAAAACCGAGCGAGGCAAATTATTGCCATCACCAAGTGTAAAAAATTTATAAGAAAATGATCATCTCTGTAGTTTCCCATGCAACAACAGAGCAAGAGATCGCTGGAGCTAACAACTATGCAAGAATGTAATGAAGTTCTGGAAATGGACATGCCATAATTCACCCGGCTTTTAAAAATCATTCTAAATTTTCTTCTCTGAGCATGTGTGCAAAATAGTATTTAGCTTGACCATAAGTTACTCTCCAAAGTTTATAGATATTTACATATATGCTCACAATTTCCACAATGATCAAATAACATATATTTTGAAGCAGTCAGGATTTTTGTAAACAAGAATTAATTTGCATGTCGAAAGCATGATTCAAAAGCACAAGTACTATACCATTTAGAACATCAAAATTGAGTGGAAATTTTGAATCATGCCAATAACACTTCTATTGATCAGAAACTCAATCTGATTAACTCAAGTAAGTGCATCAGTAATACAAATTGATTTAAACAAAATTTAAATGGCAAGTTACAAACTACTGAATAAGATATAAACATAACCCACTTGATTAACGAGGAGCTTTCTTCTTTCCTGGAATAGAAACTCTCTTCCCCTTCAAGGTCCGGCAATTGTTCTTCGTGCGCTGCCCCCTGCATGGCAAACCCTGAATATGTCGTATCCCTCTGTAGCACTGAATCTCCTTCAACCTCCTTATATTGAGGGCATTAAACCGCCTCTGCAACATGCAAAATCAAATTGCTTAGGTATAAAAACTGCACTCAAATATCAAAAAGACCAGGGAAAAAAATTTACCAAATCTCCTTCAATCATGTACTTGGAAACTTCATCACGAAGAGTAATGAGCTCATCCTCTGATAAATCCTTGGTGATTTTGTTTTCCATGCTAAGATCTGAGAGGATTTGGCGTGACTTTGCACGCCCAATTCCATGAATGTACTGAAGAGAGTATTCAATTCGCTTGCTATTTGGAATCTCCACTCCTCCAACACGGGCACATCGGATGCTTAGGCTGCCAACCTAAATATAACAGGAGAGAAATAAAGCAACACATAAATCACTAGGCATTAGCTCCCATTTAATTCCTCGGCAAAACATTAAGGAAAAGGTTGCTTTTAATTGTTAGATTTTTCATGATACAGGGCATCGTAAGTAAAAAAATAAAGCATCCCAAATGAGATTAAGCTACTACTGCAGAGAAATTAAGCATTGAATTACATAAATACAACATGGAAATTATATTTCTTCAATATAAATGACCTGTCCAATCTATGCCTGATGCCTCCAATTAGAAAGGGACAACAACAATTACCCAGCTCACCCAAGTTCATAAGACACTCATTTAATTGACATAACTGTAACAACTGAGTGAAAAAAAAATTGTAAAAAGTAACTTATTACTCCCCTTTCTCACGTAATTTTCTAGGGAAAAAAAAAACAGACAATCCAAATTATAAATCGAAATTACAAGAAAAAATGAAATGGGAGTGTTACCTTGGGAGGGTTTGAAATAGGGAGAGAGATGGTGTTGGAGAGAGAAGTCTTTTTGAATCCGTTGCATATTACAGAAAGAGAGGGCACCACAGGCATTGCCAGTGTTTGAGCCATTTTCTTTTCTGTCTATCAACACTGTCAGTGAAATGAGAATTTATTTTCCTGCGGTTTCTGGGCGACCAAACAGAGGGCAATGAGCTCCAGGGGTTGCTAAATTGCTTATCTTTTTAACGGGGAACGATAAGCGTACTCTCTTCGGTAGAACAAAAATTGTTACTCGCCTTCTTCAAGGGCCAATCTGGATAACACATCTCTAGGCCTACAGCTCAAGGTTGAGCTGGCCCAAAGAAAATTTTGTTTTTCTAAGTAACTTAGGCCCGCGTAATGTCTCTTTCTTGTTAGGCAGGTATGCCCACGTAATGTTAATGGTACAAATACATTGCAACATTTTTTGATGGTAATATGGAAGACATTTGGAACCAGCTCTTGCACAAAGATTATTTCCTTTTCCGTTGGATCTACACCCAGACTGCAGTACTCTTGAAAAATCTTTTTTTCATTATCTTTCCTCTGTTTCAAAATTCGCGACGATACCCACTTGCTGTCTAAAGGAAATCTTCATCGCCACTGCTTCATTCTCCAATAATAGCACAAATTATTCATCACTTTGAAAATTTAAGATTATGCAGATAGCCAAACATCAATGGCCTCAGCTTCTGCATTGGTTTTGCAAGAATTACTTGGATTATATTAATCACATCAGCCATTAACTTGTTCAGAACAAACCTGCTCCCATAACAGAACATAAAAATTGCGTAATTCCATTCATTCTCCGGAGTACTTATCAGCTTTTTTTGTAAGCCCTCAACATGCTAGCATTATTTTCCAACACTTCTAAGTGCTTTCAAAACCAATCTTGTCAGCTACGGATTTTTCTTTGAGACGCAAAAACATTGACGGGCACAAGTCCTATCACCTAACGCAGCTGTCCTGAGTTTGCTGCTTACAAAAATTCAGTTCCAAACTGGCACCATACAACACCAGGAGCCTCCCAACCTAAAGGGCTGCCCCACCTCAATCCAACATAAACCATCACAGCTATTATGAACAACCAAAACGCACTCCCTTGTAATTATTATATTTTTTGAAAATCCAAAATCTATCCCAAAAATCAATTTGGCAGAAGGTCAATCATGATAGAAGGCTGTCGGACAGGAAATCATGAGTAGAAAGCCAAAGATAAGCAAACTTGAAACTTGAATACAAGTCATTGCAATCTACTAAACTCGTCAAACATTAAGTTATTGCATATTCTCTTGTGTGGATCATGTTGCTTGACTTTTTTGTTGATGTTTACGAATCCGCTCAGCAACTTCTTGAGATCCATACTTTTGGTGTTCTGAGAAACAACAGAAAAGGAAACACAATGCATTAAAAAAGAAATACGTAAACAAGACATCATGCACATACCCAAAGATAAGAAGTTTGGTTGACTCAAAATACTTGGCACTCCAGTCTCATTCCATATGCAAAACATCATCATAATTCACCAATAATAGAGAATAAACAAAAGCCACTATGCCGACAGGAGGCTTTCTTTCCTGGAATAGTAACCCACTTACCTTTTCTAGTCCGGGCATTGGTAGATGTGCGCTGTCCTCTGCATGGCAACCCTTCCACATGCCTATACCCCCTGTAGCACTCAATGTCTACCAATCTCTGTACATCAGCTTTAACGCGTCGCTTCTAAACCATCCAAAATTTATTCAGTCAAGAGAGAGGAGCTTCTTTTTTGGGCAGATATAGAGTTGGAAATTAGAAGGACTTATGGAAAGAGAAAATAGAGTGGGCAGAGAGTTTACCAGATCTGGTCCAGTCAGGTACTTGGAGACTTCTTCTCTAAGAGAGTTGAGTTCTATTCCAGTCAAGTCCTTGGTAGGTTTGTTCACCAAGCTTAACTCACAAAGAATTTGATGAGCTCTTTTGCGGCCAATTCCATGGATGTATTGAAGGGCAACCTCCAGTTTCTTGTCATTAGGAATCTCGGTGTTACCAACACGGAGACCTTGCACACGTTGGCAACGGAACTGCAAAGGTAGTAATTATTGACACGAACATCCAAAACAATCTCTGCTTGATTCAAGAAAAAGTTTAAGATTAAGAAGTTGCAGTTTTTTGTGTTAACCCAATTTGTTACACCAGAAAAACAGAACCTCCTTTAAAATGAGTAGGCTCCAACTGTCTAGATAGGACAAACATATAGGGGAATGCATGGCTGACAGTTATGTGGACAATCATATGTGTATATGAAAAATTATCAATTTACTACCAAATTTTGTGGAACAAAAGAATGAATTGCATTACACCAATCATTATTTCTTTAAACTGACCGAGCAACCTCCAAAAGATCTTGTGCAGAAACTAATAGAGATCAGCTTTTACCATATATAAAAGGTCACAGAAGAAACAACGCCCAATGGACTTACCTGATTAGCATTTCAAACTAACTCTCGTGCTTCTATTTTTTGTTTCAATGCAAGAACATTTGTAGTAAAACAAAAGGTCATAGAACAAACAGCACACATACAATGCTTTGTTCTCTGCAGTGCAAGTGAATTCAATTTCACTTTTAGTTTGTAAACTCAACTTTTAGATTACAAGAGTTCTAGCCAAGCCATGAAGAACAAACAGTGAAACAGAAATAAAGAGCGCTTCACATAATGGAAACTAGAACCAAAGACACAAACTACAAAACACAATAATAGAAGATTAAGTAATAAATTCTAGTTCTGGTTATAGTAATAACATCCTCAACTATCTCAACCTGCCAATATAGTGGGTTTCACCTTTTCAGTTGATAACCCAATATGTGGCAGTCTATAGATGCTAGCATGGAATCATTAATCAATTATCTTATCAAGATTATGCCACAAACAAACTTTTGCTTTTTGCTTTGCTTAAAGTAATTCTAATCACAAATACTGTACAGCTCTAACAACTTTTCTGACCTATTTACAGTATCATAATGAAACAATTTTAAAGAACAGCCTCCGCATTCATACTAACAGGTTACTACGACCAAGCCCTGTTGATGAGTATGTGCATCTTGTAGATTGTCCTGTCACACAGATTCATATTCTCAGATAACGTAAAGCCGTTTAGTTGATGCGTGCATGCCTAATTAGGCAAACAAAATTGGACCAATGAAGAAATTACATGCCACAATAAAGCTGTTCTCGAAGCATTACTCAATGGAGAACATGACACTGTTCTCCGGGCCTATTACCACAAGTAGAAAGCTAAGAACTTGACATTACTTTCTATCCTAGGATTATTATGTTATGTCGGATTTCTTATGAGCAGTAAGTATATTATTTCTTGTTTCATCCCAACCCTGAAAAAATCAGGCTTATAGGGAGGTTCAGGATAATGAGCTGCCTTTATAGTAGAAACAGTGACAACAAGAAGTTGGAGTCTTTTTTCAAAACAATTTGTAAAAATTGCCTCAAATGTCCAATAAGCATTCTACCAGACCGCAAGACAATGAGTGTTGATACAGCTAACGTAAGGCCCAATGGCACAATGCTCAATTTGCCATAATGTTAGGGTATAATTTTATTGCAAATTCTGAATTTATGGCATTTCCATTTAATCGTTTAAATCAAAATCATAAGCAAGAGTATAAGAAAACACATCACAGATCTCTTTATCATTTCACATTATACATGCAATGTTTATTAAGCACCTCAAAATTGCAATCCTATTCTTTGAAAATTGTTTCTTGGTGAGGTACATGCACAATAGAATACAAAGATCAAAGAAGTCAATCCAAAAGTTCAACGTATTGAATATCAGGATGAATAAAAAGAATGTTACTGAAATTCGACAAAACTTTTTGAAAGAAAAAAACAAATTTTAGAGCTCATTGGCATAACAATAGAAATTTGATTATCAGCGTTACACTTCAAGGTAGACCATACTGGAGTAGTTAAAGCATCAACAAGATTGAAGAAAGTTGAAATTGAAAAAAGTATATCATATACTACAAAAATGCAGAGGTTTGAACATAAATGATCCATCACAAGGGCACGTTAGCATGCCTATTGGTAAACTTGTAGATATCCTTTTTTTTTCTGGATTGTAGAAAATAGCACATAAATATAATTCAGTGATATTATTTGTTTTTATTTCAATTGCAATCGAAGGTCAAATGACAGCGTCAAACAACTAGGCATAAAATCCCTTTTTAGCTAGACCTTTCTCATTCCATATGGACGATTGTTTCTCTTTTGAATCATCCGTTTCTCTATTATTACTTCTTGGCAACCCATGGGAAAGGGAAACACTTAAAATTTAAATTAAATTGATGTATGAAAAACGATGAAATACAAAAAGTTTTAAGACCTCAGATAAAACTAATCCAGTTGATAAACCCTAGCAACCCGTCCTTAAACCCCAAATAAAAAAATTCGTGAATTTAAAGTACTCGTCTTGGTCAGAAGTAATAAATAGATGAGAGTTTGTGAAACTCACTGATGCATTTTGAAGAAGACTTTGGTTGATGTCAGTTAGCAATCGAACTGATCCACGCCAGGCAAGCATGTTTGGGACGGGTAAAGAACGCTACTGGGAACGAAGCGAGGGAACAGAAAATGGCGGAGGCAGCGTCTGTAAAATTTAAACCCATCCCACTGTCAAGGCCCAAGCTAGGTGGATCAGTTCAAGTGGCAGATTGGGTCTATAAAATTTTGTTTCTTGATATGGGCTTATGCAATTATATCTTGGGCTGGACCCTGATAGCCACATTTGTTCGTCGCCATATCCAAGATTTTGAAGGTTCTAATTTACTTTTTCCTTTCCTTTCCTTTCCTTTTCTTTTTTTTTTTTAACAAAAAACAAAGTTTGGAAGGTTTTTAATTTACTTTAAGATACTTTAAAAGTGATAGTTCTTATTACTATTTTAATATATTTAAACAGTGAGGGAGGGTGGATTAAATTGTTAGAAGGGATTAAAAGTATCATGAAGTTGTAGGAATATTATGAAATATTTTATAATTTGGAGAATTCTAGTAATAATTTTCAAACGTGTAATATGAAACATGCCTAAACTTCAGGAACTAGGGTGGCTTTTCTTAAATTTTAAGGGGGCCATGGCCCTTTCAACCACTGCTTCTCTGTCTCCTTTTATGCAAGTAGTTGGATATTTATGGGTTTGATTGGGTCACCAACACATACAAACAAAGGTTTTGACACTAACATTGCCAAATCATACTAACCGAATTTGGGTTTTTTTTTTTATTAGGGTGGAAAGTTTAACAAAATCGGTCAATTGCTTTTATCTAATAGTTAGAATTACCTAAATCGAAAAAATAAAAGATTAAAGGTTGAGATGAATTTTATCAAAAGTTCAAGAAATCGTTTTACCAATTAACTTTCAGGATTTTAGTTAGCCTTCTCGACATCTCTGTTCAAATCTCGAACTTGGCCTAAGTTATTGATGCATACTTAATAAAAAGTTGCAGGAATAAAATAAGAGATAATAATAATAGTAATGACAAGGCTATGAATCCTAAAACAATGCAAGTGATGACGTCATCTTTCTAATAACTCAAAAAAATAATGAAAGTTGATGATAGATGATGTTTTAATTGTTCAAATTATTTATAAAACAAATTTATTTTAGTTAATCGAATAACTCTTCAATAATTAAATTAGTGTACGGAAAAGGAAATAAATCTGATTAGCCTGTATTATAACTGTGTATGTGCACAAAAATAATGAATATTAGTGCTAAGGAGCAAATCCTTGACCTCTGGCACACCAGACCATGATACAACCAAGGACTCTAGCTAGTTGCATGGCAACGAGGGCAGGTTGGTCCATTCCTTTGTGAGATACATATTCTGTTGGTGATGGATTACTATTCAACGATCGTTGAGGTATCATAATTCATACCGATTAGACAAGGATAATTTAAGAAGCGTGCCTTCATTAAATGAATGTGTGTTTTATCTTTGCAGGACGAGACAACATTTAGTCGTCCAACTTGACTGTCCCGATTAATACCGTGAGGTATATCTTGTGAGAAAAATTATAGAAACTTGACTGATTGTTAGTGGGGTTGTTAATAATTACTAGTGTCATTCAGAATACAGCTTCTCGATTAAAATTGGAGAAATATATGTTTAAAATTAGGCTATCAATTCTTAAAAATAAGAAAATATCCATCATTCATAAATAAAATATTTTGAGATAATCCACATTTCTATTTGTTTATTGTTACAACATGATGCATAATAATAAAATTGGAATTTCAAGTGTCATGCATTACCATTATTAAGCATAAGAACAATATCTTATGCATAATTTCATTGCATGAACCCAAACGAAAAACTTTTACGTGAAAAATTAAAATTAGCCTTTTAAAGTCACAAAACTAAAAATTATTTAAATTGAGTTCCCATTGTAAAATGCATTCCTTAATTGAACTTTCCCCGTTAAAATGATTCACATTTTTTTTTATATAAATTCTGCTCAAGGGAGCTTTCTTTTCCTCATATAATATATGCAATTTAGATGGAAAAAACGTTATTAGACATGGATGGCTCGACTTAATCGAAGAACTTTTAATCTTTAAAAAATTCTATTGAGATAAAATAAATTGGTTGTGATCCAATTAAGAATTAGTGGATAGTTAGAGGGATTATATATATATATATATATATATATATATGTTGATCAGTGTAAAGACCATACGAAAGTTTTTCTGTTTTTTTGGTTTTTTCCTAATTTTTTGGTGAGAAAGAGCAGCTTATGACTTAGAAGTAGCTCACTGCTCAAACCCCATTCCTTATCAATTGAGCTCAAATCGGATTTCATACTTTAGAAATTTTAAAATACTCAAAAAATAATTAATAGGATATATAATAATTACCTATTGAATCTACTTTTTTTAAAAAAATAGATACATAAAAAAAATTATAAATAATTGAGCCAACGAATAAATCTTCTTGATACTTCATCAAACAAATGAAACATAATAGCGATTTTTAGATTGTACAATTAATCACAGAAACTCACTAGTACAGACAAGCCAAGGGCGCTTGAGATACTGTTTAGGGAGCGGATCCATTGCCACCCAGAAACAATGAAGCAGCACTTGCATCTACAAACCAAACAAGCTTTTCATCTTGGGGACAAGCCAGCTTTTCAGGAATAAACCTTATGGGCCGCTGGGCCATCATCAAATATAAAAAGGGCCGTGCCATGTCGACTGTAGAGGCTACTATTGCCACGTGTGCAGCAGCATTAATCACCGGGAGGGTGAAGTCACGCTCTCTCCTGATCCGTCGGTTGAGACGCTGGGAACCCACTGGGACTCCTCTCGACGCACTGGGCAAATAGATGCCACGTGGCCATCGACTCCAAGATTTAACAGGATAAGATAAAATCTGAGGCAGTCGCTTATTGAAGAAATAGGTGTCGGACAATAAATTTTAAATAACAAAAATAATATGAGCTAAACTATATATTAATTTTAAAATTTAAAAACTATTAATTATATTTTATTTTCTGTACGTTGCACGGAAAACACGAATAATTCATTTGATGTTTCGTAATTTTAGATTCGAATTTCTTAATTTTAAAAATATCAAGATCTAGGCCAACAAGTTTAGGACTGGCGCAACTGGACCACGTGCCTGGGCCTGAAGCACCAGGCTGTGTGCCTGGGCTTGGGGGACCAAGATTGGGCGACTGAAGAACTAGGTCTGCACGCCTAGCCTTGAGAAAAAAAAAAATTTCTTAATTTTGAATTTTTGGAGACCTCTATAATTTTCGGCAGCTTCGATTTTACCGAATAGTCGGATTTCTTAATTTTGACCTTCCAAAACCAAATTCAATTTTTTTTTAATCCAAAAACAACTCAAAATCATAAAAATAATTTCAAAAACTCATTTAGAATTTCAAAAATTATTTTAATACACAAAACTTGAACTCAAAATAAAAAATTCAAAATATTTTTGAAAATAAATCTATCTTTTCCAACTATTTCATTGCTTTTGTTGCAAACAAAATAATGGTAGACTCTCATTAAGATAATCGTAATATGCATGTTTGTCTCTCTCTCTCTTTTTCGTTCTCTCTCCTCCTGGTATGTAGGGATAAAAATGAAAGAAAAAATAAAACTATGGATTGAAAAAATTATTACAACATGAGAAATGAAATAAAAAAAATATTAAATTTATATATCAATACTCTAAAACACACAAAACAATTCATGAAAATATTACATCTAAAAATTACTTAAATTGTTACTAAGTGAAAAATAATTTTAGGTATTTGAACAATATGTAAAGAGCAATTAAGTTCAGAAAACCCATGCCTTTTAATTTCTTTTAATCATTGCTAATGGTTGTTGGTAAATGCAGTCTGCTTTCGCTTGAAAAAACTTTAATTGATATATAATAGTCATCATTTGCGTGCAGATTAACGTGGGAGAGTTGGCCACTCTGATATGCTAATTAATGTGACCAATCTATCTAAATTAACTAAAGCGATTGAATTTTATTTGTCGTGTAAATTCAATTACCATACCTTGGAACGTGGGAAACAAATAGTGGATCAGACGGGACCGCGTAACTTAATGGATCCCTAAATTCCTCCCTGATGCTCTTATGGGCTGCTCATATAAAGGTCGGCCCAAGTCCAGTCGATATCCTCTATCATTGCTGTATCTTTTGGTACTCCTAGTCCTGGAGATTGGTGATAACAGCGAGCTGATTGAAATTTAACTCGTTATCTATTTTATAGTGAGAGATATCAAAACTCACAGATGAAAAGTAATTGGATGTGCAGATATACAGATAAGTCATTAGACATCGTTTTCTTTATTATTTTTTAAAAGAAACGCTGATAGACAAAGAGATAATAATTTGGATTCATAGACTAGTCATTAAACAATGTATTCTTTATTATTATTATTATTATTATTTGGAAAGAAATGCGGATATACAGATCAGTCATTATATGTGTCAAAATTCACAAATGAAAAGAAATTAGAGATAAATTACAATCTTAACTGTTAGAGTAAATTATAAATAAGTTTCTCTAGTTTTACATAATAAATTAAATATTCTCTCTAGTTTTAAAACCAATTAATTAGTCCATTGATAATTATTGATCATACTAAATTTAATATTATTTTATTCTAAAAAAATATCTTCTTTTCCTTTCAATTTATTTACTTTTTCTTCTTCTTTTTTTCTTTTTTCTATTTCTTAAAATAAAAATGAAAAATAAATTAAAAACATGAAAAAAAGGATTAAGTTATTTATAGATTTAAAACAGAAAGACTGATTAATTAGTTCTTAAAGCTAAATGGACTAATTTATAATTTACTCTAATTGTTAAAAGCACCTATTATTTAGAAGTTTTCAAAAAAAAAATCGAAGGGGGTAAAAGCAATCAATTTAGAGAAATTTTTATTTTATTATGAATTGAATGTCAGCTTTACAAAGTTTCAGTTTAGGTATTTTCGAACTTAAACTATCTAGAAAAAGGAGTTGAATTTGTGACATTAATTCTTGGAAAAGGAAGAACCTCACTGGGCCTACTAATTATATGATTACTGATTGAAAGCTTATATAACCAGCTCTTAATTGTGAAATCAACAACAAAAATGGCAGACACATGAGTAGTGCTTAATAGAGATCCGTGTATTAAGTCTTCGCAAGAAAAATCCATATCATTCTTAAAAAGGGATCCTTTTTGCTTAAAACTGAATCTGTTTGTGGATAGTACTTAGAGAAACAAATTTGCAATGTTTGAAATGTTTCGAGCAAAGGGAAAGCAAGTAAAATAACGAAACTTGGTTTAATTCGAGATTATACTTTTTGCTTCTTTGAGGCGTTTTAAGTTCATGTTAATTCAAGGAGCTTTCAGCCTAGAATGACAGTTTAAGCCTTTAGAGAATGAGATTGCGGTAGAACTTTGCATTTTAAGGAATAAGGAGCATGTCAGGCAGTGAAAGATGCCCATATTCAAGAAAATGAAGGAAAGAACAAGTGAAGTCTTATTTTTTATATGCTTCTTGCTCATAAAGCTCGCGCGATCCAACCATAAAGCGCCAATATTGCAGTCCAGATGGTATTAGTTATCTTACATCAGAAGTGAAATTTCTAAGACTTAAACTAGAGAAGGGAATTAATAATTTGCTTGAAGTCGTCATAGCTAACAGCTCCATCCCCATCTGCATCCATGGAAGCAATAATGCTTTGGCAAACCTCCAAGGACAAATCTAACCCACCATTCAGCATACCCTCATATAATTCAGCTCCAGTAACGATATTATTACCATCAACGTCAAGGGCTTCAAAGGCAGTTTTGAGCAAGTTTGCAAGTCCGGTACCGAGTTCCATATCCTTGGTGTTCATCTCCAAGAACTCTTGCATGCTTAGCAAACCATCCTTATTAGTGTCTCCTTGCTGCATCATTGCGCTCACATCTTGTTCACTTGCGTTGTATCCAAGTGACCCCAAGATGCCGCCAAGCTCAGCAACTGTAATAAAGCCATCATTGTCTGAATCGAAGGCTCTAAACGCCTCCATCAGGCTCAAGACTTGGCTCAGTGACTCGATATCAGCAGGGAGGGATCCAAGCTGAGCCATGGAAGCTTTGGAACTGTTATGCAATATTGTGTTTACATTGGGTCTCAACTTTACAGTATAAATAGAGGAAAATGTGAGATGATAGACTGATAGTTATTCTTTTGGATTGCTTTGTGTCGTCATAAAGTACAGGGAAGGAAATTTATGTTCTTATGCTTGAAAGATGCTGTTGTTATCCCAAGTTCTGTTATCTGCAACTTTTTTCATGTTAGGTTTGATGATTCCCTTGTTAACAGAACATAAATTTCACAAAAGTCAATTTGTCTGCTACATGGTATAAACTTGTCACTGAAATTTCATCCAAGTTGCCAACTCATTTTAAATTATTGCAGTAAGGGAAGATTTTCTTACAAAAACATTTGGATTGTAGATATATTCGCTGTCACTATATATTTTTTCGTAAGTTGGCTCCAGCTATAGCCAATGTTGATGCTTTTGGTAGGATTCTTTCAAAAGCCATGCTTATTCTTCTATCTTTAGATTCACAGATCACGGCGCATCTAGATGGACAAGAGGGCAGCACTTCTTTCAATTGCTTCTGATTACAGACATGTTCGTATTCTTACGATTTGTATATGCTGTGACTTGAATCACTTCTACAGATATGTCCCAAACAAGATATTGCTTTTCCAGCCCTTCTGGTGTGGGCCCCAACCAAGCCTCTCTTTTTTTTTTTATGCTTTTATTTATTTCATTATTTATTATTTACTTAAAATAAAATTTTTTTCCCATAATTAATGATATTTTTTTATAGATTCATTAACTAAAATTAAACATTCTTCTAATATAAACTGATTTAGCATCTTCTTCTAATTTGATTTAAAAAATAATAATTAATTGCATTTTTTCTTTTTCTTTTTATTAATCAAAATAAAAATTTTTCTATTATATATTTAGACTCGATTATATATATATATATATATATATATATATATATATATATATATATATATATATATATTCTCACAATTAATGTTAATTAATTTTTATTTTAAGTTTAATTATTTAAAATATTAAAATATATTATATAGATTTACTTGCAGTAATGCATATGTACTATGTTAATAAAAAAGCTATGATTATGTTTCTTAGCCACTGGAGAGGGAGTTTTTTTTATCTAAATAGGATACTTTTTAATCTATTTTTCTCAAATAAGATATTTTAAATCTTATTTATAAAAATGAAGTAATTTTACTATGTAGATATCTATGTCATCTTTTTAATTAAATGTTATAATATATATTTAATATAATAATTTAAAAGAATTGGAAACATAAAAGAAAAAATTAACTTATAATCTCTGTTTCTTTTTTATTATCTTTATTCTAATTTCTTAAATTCAAATACTCTCATAAATCAAAGCCACAATTATTAGAAAAATTCTTTAGCATATGTATATCGTCAATTAAGGTACTTTTTAAATTTTTTTGTTTTCATTCATTTAATTTTGATAAATTTTTATTTTTTCCAATCCAAAAGACGTAGAAATTGCTGACAAATTAGGTTTTGATAACTACCTCTTCTACTGTAGGCATTCTAAAAGGTTGAATCTGCGTGGGTGTTTCTCCATCTTTTGGAGGCGAAGAAGCAGCAGCACCATTATTAGTGGATTCAATTCCTGAATTATCATTGCTAGCCATTGATAAAAGGCGTACAAACAAGAACCCACCAAAATCGAACAAATAAAAAGGCTAAGAAATAATTAAATTTTATATGGCGTGGAGGTTAAGATGGGTTTGGGGTTAGCCGCCATTGGATGAACGGTGTTTGGGTCCAGCTGAGGTTTCAGGAGACCGGTCTTCGTACTTATTGTTTGCTTATGGTTGTATGCTAAAGATTAATAGAAGGGATAATTGAGTGAATAAGAAAATTAATGATATAGATAAAAATGTTAGAGAGAGAGAAGAAAAAAGATGAGACTAATACAAAGAAAAAAGAGAAGATTAACATATGATAATAAAAAATTCATTTAACAAAATAATTTTAAAAAAATTGACACGACAAATTATATAAATGAGATGATTTTTATATGAAATGAAATATTTTATTTTGATAAATAAAATTTTAAAATACCTTATTATGAAAAAAAAACTCATTAGATAAGACTCATTATATTAGATAACATGACAAATTGGAGTCAGAATGCGTATGCTATTGCATAGTTCAAAGGAGTTGTAGCTGATGTCAATTAACATAGAATTTTGAGACATTGGCATTTCTTCGTTCGGCTAGAAAAAGGTTATTTGTTCTGTTGTAATTTCGAAATCATTTTAGATGCCCTCCCCCCCCCCCCCCCCCCCCAAAGAGAAAGAAAAGCCAGTGCCACATATTAAGCGGTCTGCCAGATCGTACCTCGTTCATGGGCTCATGGTCTTGTAACCTGCTGTTATCTCCTAATCCATGACAATCATATAATGGGCCTGGATCATTAGTCTATTGTTTGACAAAATCTCTACAGGTGCCGAGTGCGTACACTAGAATACCTTTGATCTCACGGAGCCAAATTTGGAGAAAATAATGGATCTTTGAGTTTTCAGCAACCAACCGAACAAGATTAATGGATCAGCATGAGACCAAGTATTTGATGCAATCTGCAATTTTCATGTTAAATAATAAAAAACAAACAAACAAACAAACGAATTTCTCCTATGCAATTACGATGTATCTGATTACATGACCAAAAATCATCCCCCCTTCAAGCAGTAGTTATCTCCCCTTCATTTTTTGCTCCTTACCTTGTTGCATTGCAATCCACGTGTTAATTCCTTAAGCATACACATCAATTTCTTCTGCAAAAGCACAAATTGAAGTTTCAAAATAGAAATTGCGTTATTAGCTATAGTGTTTTAATAGAAAAGATTATAACTGAAATGATTATGAGATTTACACAAAATATGGAGTTTCTGCTTTCGTGGACTCCCCTTTGGTTCCTGCTATTAATGCGTTTTGGACCTGACAACGGGTCTGCTTCACCATTTTCTTCTGTTACAATTCGCTCGTACCCCCATTGCCTTTCTTTTTGCTGAAACATTCTAAGAAATGATTCCCGAATCCTAGCTGGTGCACTCGACCATTTCCATTTCTGTTCATGCAAGTTTTTTCAGAGTTTGGTAATGACAACAGGCATTTACGATGTACTTCTCCTTGGACATGAAAAATGAAAGATTTGAGTTACCTTTAAGTTGGGCCTAGAGTTCCGCCTGGACCACTCCATGGGTTCAGAACCAACGCATCTTAGCTCGCTGGCATAGGCTAATAGCTGAGCCCGGCGATCATAACCACGAGTTCTCGTGGATTTCTTGGGGGTGGGATCATGCTTTTGTTGTAAACGTTTTCTTGGGGATTCAGCGTAGATGCTGATAATTACTCTGTTGGTGCTGGCCCTTGCTTTCACAATATTATTCCTTTGATCTCTCTCTGCCTCTTTCATGGCTTTAGTGGGAGGTAGATCCATGAAACAGTTGTTGTGGTAGAAAAAGGTCAAATCCTGGGGATGAAAACAGAATGGAAAACGAATAGAGTAATGTTATATTTGGATCGTAACAGTTATTTATGAAAGTTATTGATACAACTCGATTAAAACATCCAAACTCCGCCTAGGCCCAGCACTGTTTTAGTATACAGAACATTTTCCGTTGGATTTAATAATATTATTATAAAGCCTAGTCTTCCTGTTTAAGCCCACAGGCAAATTGCCTTTGGATTGTTCATTCTTTCTCTCATACAACACTGCATAAGGTTTTGGGCCCAACTTCATAATATGGCGTGACGGAAAGGACAGATTTAAATGTGCGGAGAAGATCTTTTGATGGCCATAACGCTAGAAGCAGTTAGTCGTGCTTGAACGAGTACATCGATTATTATTTTTTGATGGTGTCCTCTACCTCCCGAACTTAATTGTAGTCCTGTGTGCCAATTTTCAATTTCCTTAGCACTATAGTAAAACAAAACTATCTGCTTCCGAGTTTTCAAAATGTGCAAGGTCGTGTCCTAATATTGGACAAGGCTTGGTATTTCACGCCTCTAGCTTATCGAAGTCGTCCAGGTTATGCTTGGACCTCTAGCCTAAAAAGAAAATAAAGGTTAAAAAAGCTTCTTAGTGGACCCATCGGTAGGTCATACGTACAAAGTTCAAAGAGTCAATTGAATTCAGAATTGATATTATGAAATGATCGTTAACTATTGCTTGCGCAGTGACATCCAATGGTTCGCCAACAGTATCCAGTTGTAAGTATCACGGATCTGGTATTTTCCAATCTCATCCCACCGCACTCGACTTATTTTTAATTTTAACCGATCAAGTTAGCTTTTTTCTTGCAGTAAGTTATGAGGGGGGAAAATCACCAAGTCCGTATTTTTCTTCTACTAAGTTGTGAAATAAGATAGTGGCACAAGAAAAATGTTATGGAAACTTTTTGCATTGTTTTGAAAATACTTACAACTTTTAAATGGTTTTGCTATATAAGAGTCCTTTCTTGTTTATAAGCTTTCATTTCTTAAATAAATAGTTAGGATTAACTTGATCAAATAGTTACAATTAATTTTCTAATTTTTTTTATCTAGATATTTACAATAAATATTTTAGATATAAATATTCTAAGAATAATTTAGGAACTTTGCAGAATTATCCAGGACATCTCCAAATTTTTGTTAAACAGTTTAGTGACTTATTTAGTGTTCCAAAGTCTTTTAGAAGCTTTCAAATCTATTTAACATTTTCTCCTAAGTCTCTAGAGTCTTCCATGAAGTTTTTTAACCTCCAGTGTTTTTTCTTTTTCTCGCAAGACCTAACATAAAATTGTGATTCTACTGCTCTATGAGCTCGTTTGAAAAAAGTACTCTTTGTTAGATTCTGAATTAAATAATGAAGTATAAATCATAGTGGGAGATACCTAGTCGCTAACTTTTTTAATTTGTTGAAGGCTATGCCACTAAAAAGATATTTAAGCGTGTTTCGGTTATTATAAATGAAATTTTTGGAATGAGAATGCGAAAAACATAATGAAAATTAAAAAATCAGAATGATATTTTTATTTTAATATAATGTTTAAAATAATAATAATGAATCAAAATGAAATTTGTAATTTATAATGTTTGGTTTTTAAAACGAATAAAAATAATAATTAAAAAATAATTGTATCAATTATAATTGTAATAAAAGTGATAGAGGTGATTGCACAGATTGGGAAGAGACATTTATGATAACATTAGTATAACAACAATAAGAATATATTTTTGAAAAATTGATTTTCATTTTTGTTGAGACTTCAATCTCATTCCATGTAATTTATATTTTATGATAAAATAATTAAACTAACCACACGAAAATCAAGAGTAAAAATAAACAAGAACACCAAATTTACATAAATAAAAAACCTCTCTATCTTAGAGAAAAACAATATCAATCTCGAAATAATCCATTATAATCAAGAAAATAATTTAATTACTCAAGTTTTTTTTGTAGACTTAAGAATAAAAATATTAGTAGTAATACAAGTTACCTTCTAAATAAATCTTTAAGATCTTAATTCTTTGTGCTTCTAGTGATAAAAAATTAATGTTAGAGAAAATTTTAATATTTTGTGCACCAAAAACTCTTACTTTCTTTTTTATAGAATTGGGTAAAAGAATAAGAAAAATCATTATTTTTTTTTCCTCCAGTTGCTCTCTTCTGACAACTATAAACCAAATAAAGAAAAATTATTTTGTTTTATATGCATGTGTCAGCTAAATAGAAAAAACACAACAAGAAAAACAAATTTTCCTTTTTAATTTCACAAAAATTCCTTTTGTATTGAACTCATTAATTTCTTTCTTAATTAATATTTTTTAATGGATTACTACTCACAGGCTGTATCTTAAGCATATATCCAGTAATTTTTTTCTTTTCATTCTCCATTTGTGTTTCTATTTCGTCATTTCAATTAAATATTTAAAAAATAAAAAAAAACTTTTATTTTCATTTTTCAATTCCATTTCGGATGATCATTCAACATCCTAACAAAACTATTTGACGGGAAGTATCTTTGTTCGATTGTTGTGAATCAAACATACGAGAGATTCCACTAATGGACCCCGTAAGTAGGTGCGTCCAAGGAATTTTAAAGGCAGGAGCTGACTGGCTTTGAGGGGTGGGAACATTGATTTGTTGTTGAAAACCCATTCACGGGACAGTGATTAGTTGTTGAAATCGACGATGCCTAATTCTACGAACCTGCTTTTTAAAATTCCTCACGCTCACTAGTATACTGAATGCTTATGAAGCTGTCTCTCCTGGAAAAATTGCATTTTTTGCCTATATTTTTTTTGTTTATTTTCATAAGAGAATCTAAAATATGCATATCCAATCCGAACAGGATGATATTATTCCTACTTTATTCATCAATTGCGGTTTTTAATGAGAGGACATATACGATAATAGAAGCAAATGGCCAAGATGGAAAATTTTGATTTGAACTTCTTTTACGTTAGCAAAAGAAACTTCGAAGACTTACTAAAAAAAATTAAACAAGAGAAAATTAGATTTTTTTTAAAAAATTTTTTATAATTCAGTTTCTTTTTTATTTTCGTCTTCTTAAAGCACTTTTCAACGAGTAGAAATCCATGTATCCGCTTAATCTCTCTATTAATTAATCTAGGCAAACACTTTTACTCATGATAGACAACAAAAAAGTTAAAATTAATTAAAAAAAACAGAGAGTTTATAAGAAAACCCAAGGACAAGAAGCAGCTGAGAACCACGTGGGCGTACTAGGGAACAGGGAGGAGGAAGTGGAACCATCCATTCTTTTTGCCTCTCTTTCGAGAGTGAGCATGGGTGCCTAGAAAGAAGGTACCGAAACCAACAACTCCAAGTATATTCTACTGATATCTCATACAAATTCGTAACTTTATCTTTTAATTTATTTTTTACTATCTTATTTTAATGGTCCTATTTCATTAGAATCACATCACCACATTGTGAGGAGCGGAGTTGTGTCCCAATTATGTTTTAATTAGCTAGAAAATAAAACAGAAAGAGCCCTTGTGAAAGTTGGCCCTCAATCTACGGACCTTATTCAAGTTTGACACAACTTTTTGTCTCGCAGAGATGATGAAGGAAAGGAAAAAAATGGGCGCCACCAAATATCAAGGTGGCTCAAAGGTTCACCAAAAGGCCATTGTCTCCTTACCCCTCTCAACACCCTATCAGCCGCCCCAGTTGTCATGTTTGTGATATTGTGACTGGTGACCTTTTTCCATTTTTGTTACCGTAACGTGACCCATCGCTCTGCCTTCCTCTTACACTCTCTCTCTCTCTTTGGTGCATAAAAACCCGCCCCATGTTTTTCATTGACCATTGGAGTTCCCATGCGCCACTTCACAGACATTAAACCGTCCCTTAGTTTTATTGGCTTGACTATTCCGGATCCTCTTTAAGTCTTAACTTTTACCATTAGTCGTCTATCATTGTCATAACAATAGCACATTAATTATTTATCTGGTGCAAATTCTAAGAATCTTCCTCATATTTTACCTAATGACTAATCCAACTAGCGACATCCTTTGTTAATTTGAACAGCTATCGATTGCCTGGAAGTAACATATCATTACCATATGATTTTTAAATTTTTTTTATAAAAAAATCGAACATGAAATTTGTTGGAGATAAAAAATACTAATATCATTTTAATTACAATTTGTTAATTTGATTTGTTAAAAATTAACATGTAACTTAAAAGTTCACAGTGAATAAAGAATCCTTGGACTCGTAAAATACATTAAACTCTCGATATAAACAATAAAAACAACAACCTTTTAAAAGTTAAAAAATTGCATGTGAATTACCTTTGACAAGCAAAGCTAGTTGATGCCCCACCTATAACCTGATTAAATAGATTTGAGTTGAGTAATTAAATTATAGTATCATTGCAGATTTGGTGTGCCAATATCACGTAGTTTTCACTCAATATTTTATTAAAAAGTTACTGTTTCATTTAACCTTTTTTAATTAATGAAGAAAAATTGCAATTTACAGAGATGAAAATTAAAATATAGAAAAATATTGCTTCAAAGGGGAACCATTATTATCAGGGATAATTGCACTATAAGTGCATCAACTTTTAATTTTTTTAATCAAATATATAAATTTTAATTTTTTTATCACATCAATTTTTTCAACACAACAAATCGAGTATTTTTATCAAGTTTTCTTTGATGACATACCTGTTATTTTTAGAATATCAAATTATAATTTGATCTTTTTCTTTTTTTTGCCTCAATAGAGTACATGAATTTTTTTTTAGTGTACCAGTTTTTTATATACTGCCAATTAAATACTTCGATCAATTTTGTTTTTGTAAAATTGATGACATATCCAGTATATATATATATATATATATATATATATATATTGTTGTAAGAAATTTTATCTTCAAATTCTTCAATCATTTTAAAATTTAACAAAAATTAAAA